CCCCCTGGGGGTGGTCGTCGTGACCCTTACTCAAAGGTGGAAACACCCTCAGTTTAAGGAATAAGCGAACCCTTATCAAGGTGGTACTTCAACCGCAGCTAACCTACGCCTCCACGGCGTGGGGTCACGCGGCAAAAAGTCACTTAAAGTCACTACAGGCTGTGGAAAACATAGCTCCCCGCATGGCCACCGACGCGCCCTGGTACGTAAGAAACACTGACATATTACGAGATTTACAATACACAAACGCTACACAGACAATAAGACAAAACGCGGAGAAACGGTTTGACGTAGCCGCTGGACATGACAATCCCCTCCTCAGGCAAGCCGTTGACTACGTACCCGACAAACACAAAAGACCTAGACACCAACTTTTTGATCCTGGGTGACCACCCCAATGACATTCCCCCTGCCTGCTAACCTTTTCTGTTTCAGAGACCGTCAGGATCAAGAAACGAAGACAACGACACACACACACACCCACACCCCCCCATACCCCCCATACCCTCCTTACCCCTTCCCACCCGTGCTAGCCTAAGGGCCACTTTAGCAAAGCGCATCCCAGGCTGCATAGCCACACTACCCTACCCAACCATACTACACATAAACATGACACCACCTCCGGGGTTTACACAGACGAGCCGGCGAAGCAAGAAGAGCGCCAGAAGAAACGGCCCTAGCCGGCAGGGCCCAGCCAGGACGAAAGGAGGTTCCACAAAGCGCCTACACCGGCCGCATTTGCGGTCGGGGTAGACGACGGATGGGGCCCACCTACGAAGGCTGTCCAGGCCTACACGAGATGAGGCAGGATAAAGAGGGATAATCCCCCTCGATCCCAAATCATTGAGGCCAATTTCTAGCCATGGAATAATGGCGCGGTCGTCGTGAGGAGTGGGTTTTTGGTAATAACTTGTAGCTAGAAAATGCACGCGGCCTTTGAGTCAGTGAGGGGCCGGTGCAGGGATAGGATAGGCCATGGTCACCGCGGAGTTTTTCCGCGGCCAGATGCCGGTGGCAGTTACGAGCCAGCAACCGAGCTGAGCAGACGTGTCTGTGAAGTGCTAGTACAAGACAAATCTACCTGCCTTTCTTAAGGCTACCTGGAAAGAATTCCTTTCTTTCCTTCTTAAATCACCGATGTAATTGTCCCCTCCGCAACCCCTGACGAACTAAGACTGACAATACGCAGACTTAAAAACAGAAAAGCCCCCGGACACGACAATATACATAACACGACGCTTAAACGACTACCACACAAGGGCCTCATGGCCCTACTAAACATAACAAACGCGACACTCAAACTAAGACACTTCCCTAGCCGCTGGAAAATATCAAACATAATCCTTATCCCAAAACCCAACAAAGATCACACCTTCCCATTCAACTACCGGCCCATTAACCTGCTCCCGGCTATGAGCAAAGTGTTCGCCTTCCGATCCAATCACTCCATCGAACTCCAAATCCTTCGCCTTACCGAGCACATCACGGCGGCCTTCAACAGGGGACAGTACACTGGTGCTGTCTTCCTGGACGTCGCAAAGGCATTTGATACGGTTTGGCATGAAGGTCTACTGATGAAAATGCTCACCAACCAATATCCCATATCCTTTACCAAACTCATAAAATCCTACCTATACCACCGAAAATTCCGCATCCAAATCCAAGATTCCCTTTCCACCACCCGTCCCATGGAGGCCGGTGTCCCCACACCTATACACCATTTACAACTCCGACATCCCACATCCCCCTAACACCAACTTATACTTATACACCGACAATTACATCCCAATCCGTAGATCCTAGATATTCCGCCTCCCTCCTCTAAAACTCCCTAGACCAACTAGAAACCTGGTGCAACAGGTGGAAAGTCAAAATTAATCCCAACAAAAGTTCGGCTATCCTTTTTACCAAACGAAAAATCCCACAAAACCTCGATAGACTGACATTATCCCAGGAACCTATCTCCTGGAATAGACAAACACGATACCTGGGCGTGGCAATGGACCAGCGTCTCACGTGGAAACCGCACATCGTGAAGACGGTGGCGCGTGCGAAGACCACCAGGGCTAGGCTCTATCCCTTGCTCAAAGGTGGAAACACCCTCAGTTTAAGGAATAAGCGAACCCTTATCAAGGTGGTACTTCAACCGCAGCTAACCTACGCCTCCACGGCGTGGGGTCACGCAGCAAAAAGCCACTTAAAGTCATTACAGGCTGTGGAAAACTTCTATACATATACAAAGCATTTTGAAAGGGAATTGAAGCCAAAAAGAGGGGGTGTTGCACTTTGTTTGTTATACGCACACGCTATGATCATTTTCCCATTGGTCGGTTAATGTCATTGTTATTTCCGAAGTTAGGTTATGAACAGAAAGACAGCCGAAAATGATTTAGCAAACAAAAAAAAAGGAAAGAGGAAACGAGGCAAACCCATAAAAAACATGGGGCCAAGGACGAAGTAGTGGCAGAAGACTTAAAAAAAAGAGCAACAAACTGGCATGAAGCGATGAATCTAGCAAAAAATAAAAAAGAAGTCAAAATTTGTTTATAAGTAAAAATGTATATCTTTACACCATATATGGATACTTAAGATTTTATTGATTGAGGATTTTTATTAATTAAGGGTAATGTATTGATGAAATTGGCTAAAGCAAATTATCAGTAGCTAGAAATTCCACATTTTGCTAATGCATGAGACTTATTATTTATTTACAAAATGTATCTAGTTTTGTAAATTTACTTCTAATGGCGGTTTTCCACTAAACGGACAGTTGAGTTTATGTCCTGTTTGTGTTTTCTAGAACAAAACAAAAACAAACAACAACTGAAACAAATCCAAAACTCTTGTTTCCATCAAACGGGCTACATTTTGTTCGAGTTTTGTTTTTGTTTTCAGTCCTTTTCCACTGGTTGTCGCGAGGAAGTCAGAACACATTTTTCCAATAACCAGCCAACATGTTTAGAGAAGATTTTTTTATTCTTAGTTATGGCTGGTTTATACTGAAGTCCTTGGAAAAAATGTGTGTCTACAGAGTGTCCCACCTCGAACTCCATCGGTGGATATCTGGGACACCGCTCTAAGGATTTTTTTTGAAATTGTAATGGTGTGAAACGGACCAAGTTAAAATATTTTCAAGGTCATCGTACTTCCGGTTACACCAGAAGTCGATACTAACTTTCTTATTTTAAATGGAACCCCCTGTATATTATTGCATTTTGGAAACATCATCCATTTTTAAGTTGAAAACATATAGCACACTCCATACTTAGGATTGACCGTTTCCGAGATATTTCGATTTTTAAACAAAAATTGACAGGTGCAGACTGTTAGCAAAATTTAGTTTTCCTGGTTTATTTTTTTGTGCAAAATGGACATTTTGTAGAGAAAAACCTACTTTATCGAATTTGACATGAAAATTTTCCAGTCTTTATACAGGGTGGTCAAAAAAAAATTATCGAATATGAAGTTCAGAATATGTGGAAAACTCGAAATTTTTAAATGGAAACCCCTAATTTTTTGTAATAATCTACAATGGGTTCCATTTAATATAAGAAAGTTAGTACAATTTCCGGTATAACCGGAAATACGATGACATTGAAAATATTTTAGCTTGGTAGGTTCCACAGTTCGTATCACTCCATCACAATTTCAAAAAAATCCTTCGAGCGGTTTCCTAGATATCCATCGATGGAGTTCGTGGTATATGTACGGTTAAAGTGTTTATTTGGTTAGTTTGTATCCTGGCCAAGTATATATATATATTTTTGTCATCATCATAATAAAATATGGTACATATAATGTATGATAGTAGGCCTTATATTCCCTGAAATATGAGCTTTAAAAGTTCAACCAGTGGTGTACAACTGGACAGGGGTCACCCCTTTTTTACAAAAAAACTACGCCACTGCATTTTGTACATGTCATTGTAACTGATTTATATTTTAATGCACAAAATACGTAAAAAAGGTGACTTTAATTTTTTCCCTAAGATTCGCCGTTCTCAAGTTATTCATACCAATACAATACCCTTGTGGCAGACACTTCTAACGATAATATTACAAGAATATTTGTTTATGTTTAAAAGTAAGTGCAATTTGTAAGCACATCAACAAAATTATTTACACTCCTTTCTACACCACCTGTGAGGTAGTGTGCGATATAAAAAAAATCAATTTTTTTTTAAAACCTCAACACCCTGTATCTCTAAAACGGGGCTGTTCCAGACCTATGTTTATAAGGCAAACGCATATTATTTTAAAGAGATCTATCTACCCTCGAAGTTTCCTGCATAAAATTCGGACCACCCTGTATATGATACCACATCTTCTACATACGGCGAAAGGTCAAACATAGTTTTTACGTAATGTTCAAATAAAGAAACGACACTTAATGTACTTGAGTTCGGATCACAAACTGGATCAGCTATTTTACTGATTCAATGTGTTCTAAGATGTTGACTAGCTTTGCATTGCATATTTAATAAAATATGACTTGATATTTGGCATATGTTAGAAAATCAAAACATTTAGGTTAATATGATTATATGATTTATTTTTATTGTTATTTATATATAAGTATTAGTTAAGGTAGATAAATTATTATCATTTTTATGTGTACATAATGTGTATTTTTATATGAATTTTTGTGAAGATGTATTGATTTTAAATTTCAAAAAATGTTTGCTATTTTATATAAATAAACCACTTTTACTCTCTTCTGGATTCCGTTTTATTGTACCCATTTTATTTTACATTCACTATCTAATATTCTCATAAACTACAATTAACAAGTTGTATAATTACAAAATAATAATATAATTGGTAATTTTGCTCTGCTAATAGTACATTAAAAATCATTTGAAGTAATCCGCTAAATTTTCGGGCTTGCGCAAAATTGACAAAATGCTAAATGTACACTTTTATCCCCTCTTTTTGGGAATAAGGTCATTAATGTAAAAGACATGCAGTGCTTCGTATAAGTATAGAGCATGTGCTCACACCATGCAACTTGCGGCAGTGAAAGCAACAACTCAAGAGGTAAGTTCTTATATTAACGCTAACAGCCTCTGCATAAGTAATAGAGGCTGCGAACCGACATTTGTTAACTCTAGAAGTCAAACACTAATAGACGTCACAATAACTACGGCGTGTATATCTAATCTAATCCGGAAGTGGCATGTGGCAGACCAGGTCCCAGTGTCAGATCATCGCTTGATAAATTTTGATATCAATCTTAGTAAGACTCCTACCAAACTGTTTCGGGACCCTCGAGGAACTGACAAGGAAAGATACCTATGTCACCTCCGAGAGAACCTAATAGCAGCACAAAAACAGGAGCCCAAGAATGATGAAGAAATTGAGGTGTTTGCAAATACAGTACAATCTGTCACAAAAACAGCATTTGATGCTCTTAGGTCAGAGCAACAACCCGGTGGAACCACGAGTTGGTGGAACCGGGAGTTGAGCGACCTGAAGAGGAGTGCTAGGAGATCATTTAATAAGGCAAAAGCTGCCAGACGAAACTCAGACTGGGAAATATATAAGACCTACCTGAGACTTCTCAAGAAATTAATCCGAAAAAGACAAAGTGATGCTTGGAGAACCTACTGTGAAGAGTGAAAACTACTCACAGGCTGCTAGAATGACCACGATTTGAGTGTACTAATTAGAGATGATGGAAAAGAAAACATCAATCTAAACGAGAGTCTGGAGCTGCTGCGAATCCATTATCCGGGATCCGCATCAGCGGAACTAGAGGAATGCCCGGACGAAATTGAGAATTTACCTACAGTTATGGATCGGCAAATTGCTAATGGGGTCTGGATGTACTGAAGCCCATGGGCGAAGTTAAGGGGGTGGCAAAATCCCTAAGCCCCCCCCCAAAAACATTATTACACATACACATCAGAACAGAAAATAAAAAACATACTTTTTTGACAAAAAAAATTGTATAATTTAATAACTTCATACTTGAAACTTATTTCAATCGAATCCAAGTCGGCGTCACTGCCCAACAGAAGTCGGAATTGATAAAGAGGTTTTAAAGGCGGAGACGACCGTAATAAAGAACTGTGTCAGGAAACGGGACGAAAATATTAGTATATCTTAGTATATCCGATATTACATATGTTGTCAGAAAACACATTTCCAAATTTTAAGGTCAACCGTGGGTCATGACCGATTCAGTTCTTTAACACTTGCTAACATTGAAAGTGACATTTCAAAATCCCTGAGTCTAGACGATATTCTGGAAGAATTTATTTTAATAACTTTTAAAATAAAATTATTTGACTGAAAAAAAATTTTTTTGATTTACTTATAATATTTATGGATTGGTAGAAAAATATGCTTACCTTACTTTGATACATACACAAAAATAAAATGAAAAAAATATATACATTTTTTCATATTAGGGCTTTAGCCCCCCCAGATCCAATGACTTAACTTCGCCCATGCTGAAGCCGCACCTGGAACGGTTGTTGCACACCACTACATCCCTAAGACTTGGAGGGAAATGAAGGTTGTATTCATCCCCAAAACAGTTAGGCTGGATTACACAACCCCAAAGGCATATCGACCTATCAGCCTGACCCCGTTTCTGTTGAAAACGATGGAAAAATTGTGAGCGAAGTATAAGGGACAAACAGACAGTTACATCCCCATCAACATGGGAGATCTACCGACATTACCCTCCACCTAGTGGTAGGCAGGATCGAAAAATCTTTAGATAACAATGAATCCACCCTGGGTGTATTCATAGACATAGAAAGGGCATTCGATAAGACAACGTTCACAAAAATCAATTCAGCTCTCATGGAAAGAGGTGTTTCCCTCTGTATCTGCAGTTGGATATCAAACATGCTCACCAAGAGAGCTATAAAAATTAGTGTTGCAGATGCCTCCGTGAGAAGAACTGTTGCGAGAGACTCTTCTAAACACCACGCTAAGCTTTCTAGCGGATGTGAAGTATCTTGGAGTAACACTCGATGCAAAGCTAACGTGGAATCTTCACTTGGAGAGAAGTATAAAAAAGGCGTACATATCCTATGAGCAGTGCCGCAGGACCATTGGTAAAACCTGGGAGATGAAACCAAAGGTAATCATGTGGATATACATTGTCATAGTGAGACCAATGTGGGCCTACAGAGCTGTTGTCTGGTGGCCAAAAACCCAACAGACAGCAGTTAAACAGAAGCTCAGTCAGATGCAAATAATAGCTTGCCTGAGCGTTATAGGAGCTATGCGAACAACACCAACGTTAACAATGAAGGTGATGGTGAGGTGGCTCTGACAACTATGCTTCGCTTCAAGAGCGTTGATGTTAAACCAAATATAGGATATGAAGAAATCAGATGTCGCCTATGGAATGAGGCCGTCAGGAAGATGCTACATAGTACTGATCAAAAATGAGGAATAGACCGCCAGTGAGGATGTAATTATCTTCACTGACGGATCAAAAAGGAAAAAAGTACAAAATGTGTATTCTAGATCCTTACACATCCGATATCAGTGGGCTATGGATGTACGTGCCACCGTGATATAAGCGGAACTGGCAGGTATAGCTGCTAAAGAAATTGCCCTTAGGCAGATAACGGGCAAAAGTATTCGAATCTATACAGATAGTAGACAATCATGTTCTTACATAATCGGAAGATAATGTCGAGATGGGTATGGGAACGCCACCAAGCGCTGGTGGTGGCCTCAGTGTGCTCTCGCTGTGAGCACTTTTTGAAATGATTAAGGAAAACACCCACAAAGAGTTTAGAACACGGTAGGATTAAATAAACAATTTGCTAGTTTTTAGGATACCCCAGCAAAGACATAGCCAAAAAATACCTGGCTATGTCCAGGGTAAGCCTTCGTCTGGTGACGGGTATTCAGACCGGACAATGTTGGCTAAGGAAACACCTCTATAATATGAGGAAGTGGGAAACACCTCTCTGTAGACGTTGTGAGCAGGAAGACAGTTTTCCATGTACTCTACGAGTGCACTGGTGTCTCGTCAACGAGAGAATCCGTGCTAGGAGAACGGTGGCCTTCTATGGCCTCCATCAGGGAGATCCCCCTGAGCAACGTTATTACCTTTTTCTCCTTGATAGGCTGGTTGGTGGCTCTGGAGAGCTGATCTCTCGCTGGGAGGATACACAAAGGGCCCAATGGGGCCTAAGTGCTTTAGCTCAGTATAGTGAGTTACCCTCCAAATTATTCCAGATTACAGATTCTATGCGACGCCGGCAATTTTTATTCATCTCTTCTTGCAAAACATTTTATGAATATGAAAAAATAAACACAATTAAAGAAAATGTATAGAAATGTAATTTCTGTTAGTTACATAATCATTAATAATGATAAACATATTTATTTACACAAAAGTAATTTCAAATCAGAATACTTCAGAAAATATTGGAAATATAAACCTTAATAAAGAAATTATTATATAGTGATCTTTTACTGTCCACTAAACATAATTATTTTTATATTTAAATGAAATTGTCATAAAATGTTTTAAATAATTCTCTTAATTTTTTTCTGTACGGTGGCAACCCCTTACTAAATTGCGTCAATCGTTGCGTTCGTGGCGAGTAATTTCAGGTGATCTAATTTTCTATATGAAATTTTAATTCCCGACCTTTCATTCCTTATTTACCCTAACCTCATATTGAAACAAATCTATATGTACACACACCTGCAGTGCATTCAAAATTTATATTCAATCAGTATGTTATTATATTTTCTATTAGAAACAGAACGAATAAATTAGAAATATGTTTTTTAAGTAGAAACTATATAAGTAACACATCCAGGTGGATATGAATTGTATAAAATGTGTCGCGTAATGTTTGTTGGAATCATCTTATATATTTGTGTTCGTACCAAAGCTGAAAATTTTCCATCCCTTATCACTTCTAATGCTTCTCTAGGTAAGTTTTTTAACTCGTATTATTACTGTAGGTAAGGCTCGGTACTTTGAGTTTCGGTTAAGACTTGATTAACTAATCAGGCGATTAGACTGTGAATACTTTTATGAAATGAGTCAGTATATGTACAGTCATCTGATCATCTGATTAATTAAGGAGGCTTAACGGAGATTCAAAGTACCGGGCTTTAGTTTAACAAAAATTAAATTAGTTCTAATAAATTAAATTTTGAATTATATCATTCTCTCGCCGATTTATTCGAAACATCCTTTAAGCGTAATAAGTATATAAGTATACAATCTTAATATAAACTTTTTAATATTTATATCTAAGTATACATTTATTTATTAAAAAAGTTGTTTCGAATAATTAGCAAATTAAAGAAAATGTTATACATGGTTAGAACTATTTAAAGGAAGACTACAAGGATATCGGAAACCGTTAGTCATACAGGGTGGCTCAAATTACAAAGTTGCACAATTATGGGGCGAGTGTTTTGGTGCAAACAGATCCAAGATATCTTCGATAGTTTCTGAGATATCTCGAAAAAAGTGAAAATATCGATTTTCTATTTTTCGTTATAACTCATTTGTTTTTTAAGATAGCGTCACGAAATTTTGTATCTAGGCATTATCCAACATGGCGATGTTGCAATGGTGAGTTCAGATTTTTTCTATCTTCCATTGTTTCAGTCGCAATAGTCAACTTTTTTTTTTCTTATGGACGCCATATTGGTTCTCCTCGTGGATGGATAAAGAAAAAAAATACAAATTCAACGATGTATCACACTTTACAAAAATATCCTGTCTGCCTGCAGCAATTTGAATTTATTTTTAATTTTTCTGAATAGAAAATCGATATTTTCACTATTTCGAGATATCTCAGAAACTATCGAAGATATCTTGGATCTGTTTTCACCAAAATACTCGCCCCATAATTTTGTAATTATGTTTTTGTTTGTATTATTAATGTTTTTGTAATTTGAGCCACCCTTTATGACTAACGGTTTCCGATATCCCTGTAGTCTCCCTTAAAATAGTTCTAACCCCGTATAAAACCAATTATTCAATATGTATGTGTGATTTTTTTTTAATGGAATTGTTACATTTATAAATAATTATTCATTTGAATACAAGGCTTCGTTATTCCTCTAACCGCATACTTACAATTCCATTCCACATTTCAATTTGAAAATTGTAGATGAAAAAAAAAAACAGAGCGTTACAGGATATCCGGAAGCGAATTATAAGTACCTACTTCAAGAGTAGCTTCTTGGTTATCCTAGTGCAATTTCGCTCCCATAAAAAAATACGGGCCTTTAATACAAAGTTTCCATGCCATTTTTAAAGATTACTTTCGTTTTTTTAGATATGTATTTAATGACATTTGATATGGCATTTGAGGTAATCGAAAATGAGCATAGGTTTATTTGTTTTCTATCTGAAACATGGAAGTTGTCAAAAATACCTACCTGAAACAGTCTTTCGTTTTTTGCCATACCTTATTGTTGGAAAAATGGATTTCAATTTTCTACTGTAAATTGCAGATAATTGTCTTCGTATATCAATTTTCATTGGGTTATCTTAAAATAATGGAATACACATTTTTTTTTTTGTATACCCGTAATTTTTAAGGATGGAAATTATACTAAAGTAACTATTTATTTCCATCCAAGGAAGCAAGGCTACCCTTGAAATAAGGTCCATTCTCTTGCGAATTTTATATATTATAAAAAAGATCCTCGTGTTGCAAAACAAAGACGTTCACGTCAAAAAATGCGAGTGCAATCTGTCAAAATTAATTATTTAATGGTACATGTTACAGGGACTGTATACAAGAGTCACTGTAGTACATGTTAGCCACAAATCATAAAATATAGTGCATGCTTTTTGATTTCAGTTATGCGTGAATCAGATCAGGATTTAGTACATGTAATATTCCATCAGAGCCTTATTTTACGCATTTTATTATTTTTTTCATGGACAAATATTAATTTCTAGACTATTAGGGGAAAAGTCACTCTTGTTTAATTTTGATAAATTGTTTCGATTTCGATTTCGATTTCGATTCAGGGCATACTGAATTTATTGAAGGGATTATACAACTAAAGTCTAAAGTCTGATATTCAAAGCATTGAAATTAAATAAGAGTATCTTTTTTCCTTAATGGTCAAGAGTTACCTCGTATATCTACTTTTGCGGAAGACAAGGTATTTGAATAATATCTCAAAAGTCTTTTAAGATATCGCAAAAATGAGGTATCACCTCTTAGAAAATTTAAGGCCACCCCGTATAAAATACATAACCATATATACCTCAATAAATAAAACTTCTGTTTCGTACCCACTTTATTTGGAACACACCCATCGTTTCTTTTTACTTGTATTGATCTTAAAAAAATCCACAGAATATATAAGGAAAAAATGTCAGCCATTTCGACCCTGTTACTTATATTAATTTTAGGAATGGATGAGAGAGTGATTCAGATATACCTACGGACAGTACAACCACATACAATATAGCTTAAGCGGTAGCTATTTTGTCTGTGGTACAACTAATTTAGGTCGAATCAATGGATTATTTGCTTATGATAAGTGGAAGGAACCATTTTTAAAAGTACGGTTGATTTTGTAGAAATTTCATTTAGTTAATACCCTCATAGTCCACCTTACTGCACTAGCGTAATGTTAGTCAAAAAGTTAGGCAATAGAAAAGATGTTTCAAAGAACCACTCAAGCTCTGAACAGACTGGAGACTTATGTCTTAAACATAATGTCACAACTTCATACATATAATTTTCAACCACTGACATTGAATAAGTTCTTTAGTACTGTTCTGCCTATCATTTTCTATAAAAATGTAAAAAAACTACCATTGTACTATTTGTACTAGGACAAAGTAAAAGTACTGAGACTCTGATGCTCTGTGGACTTTGTTTTCGACAAAGTTGGCGAGACTGCATTCAAGGCCAAAGTGTTAGGAGCAGAGCGCGCTGTATTTGTCTCAGTCAGTTGAGAACTGTTGTTATAGTTGAGTGTTGAAATCAGTGCTACTATGGACAGTTTTGGGGTGACGTCACATATTTAGGCAACCCGCAACAAATTAATTGTTATAGTTGAAATTTTACAAACCGAATCTGACCCTTGTGTACTATTTACATAGATACTAAAGAAATGAACAACTTCAAATTAATTTATTTATACAAGAATTTAGAAGTATTTAAGAACAACCAACGCATGTTTTGTTAGATACACTAATGTGCTTAAAATAAAAAACGATATAAAAGAATATTCGTAAAAATAAAGTGAAAATTTAACATTATTCCTAATGCGCATGTTCGGAAAGAATAGCCTCATACGCAGGTGAGATCTTGTTGATATGTCATCCCTGTCATAATTAGCGTATTTTCTCTTCGTTTGTTTATGTTGTTGATATGTCATCGCTGTCATAATTAGCGTATTTTCTCTTCGTTTGTTTATGTTGATGATATGTCATCGCTGTCATAATTAGCGTATTTTCTCTTCGTTTGTTTAATTTTCTAGTTCTACTAATTGTAAGTATTTTTATTATATTTCTTGGTGTTGTGCTGTGTCAGTGTGTTAATCGAGTATTTTTTTCTTCAAGTGGTTTATTTTATTCTTAACCATAACCAAACTTTTCGTGAATGATATCCTGCTCCGGGGCTACTTCACTAACGTAAAATAACCGTTAATGTTCAGTAACATTTATATAAATCAGATTTTACCATTTTTTTCTAATTTTAAAAATAAGAAATTTAAGGTACCTATACATTTATTTATCATCAAAGGTTTTAATCTAGAATAACAATTTATACTAAATCATATTTTTTAGCTATTATTATAGATCGTGAGTATGTAGGAGACGAATATGAAAATATAAAAGCTGATATAGAAAATTATTTAACTTATGCCAAGAGAGAACTCCTAAAACATGGTGGAGTTAATCACTATTTTTATTCTTGGACAGCGATAAATGTGAGGCGAGGTAATGATTTTAACAATTATTAATAATTAATATTTTTGTTGTAGAATAATAATTATAGACTAGGCGGTATCTGTTTTGGTTTGGTTGAATCGTATATCCACGGAGATTTTTGGCTTTTTGGCTTTTAAATATCACTAGAAATTAAAATTTTTCTATGGACATGAAAAAAAATGAGGGTTTTAACTTTTGGCGGCACAATATGTTAAAAAAATTCGAAAAATTTCATATTTTTTTCCTATTATGTATCTTTTTAAGAGTTGATTTTAGGCGAAAATGGAAGAGGAAAAAATTGTTTGTATTTAAATTTATTTACAAAATATGACTAATTACAAATCGAGAATCATGATTATTATTGTAAAAAATCGAAAAAATCGCCAAAAATTGGGTTAAAAAACATTATTTTTTAGGTAATTTTTTTGGGGTCTTTACTTGAAAATTTAATCACATATAGAGGGCTCTCAAGCCTTCAAACGCTTTTTGAAAAATTTGAATCCGTTAATTAGGAGAGCTCTGGCGCTTGTTTAAACATTGATCGAATTTTATTTATTGTTTAAAATATAAGCAAATGAGAAATTAACTCATTATATTACTATTTTTCGACATATTTTGAAAATAATTAATTGTTGTTTAAACAATTTTAGAATATTTAAATAAATTTGTTTTTGATCTTTGATGAACAGTAGGTATATAAGTTTATGCACTTACCTTTGATACAATAAAAAAATAAAGTTGATAATTAAAGGAAGTTTAAAAATAAATAATTATCGGACTGTTGAAAGACCAATTAACTATAGGCATTTGAAAATACGCTAATTGTTTTTTTTTATATCGCGAGACATCGATTTAAAAAAAATCATCAAAATCGGACCTCTACAAGCCGAGATATTAAAAATTTCTAAGCGCGTCGCGGTTTTGTAGTCTAGGAGCCAGATAGGGTTCCGTGGCCAATCAGAGTGCCATGGCTGCCAACAACTTATTCGTTATTTTGACCTCCTGGTCCAAAAAAATCCAAAAAACTTGGTCGCAAAACCTGAAAGTAGTCAGTTTAATTGTTATTAACAAATTAAATGTTTAAATTACTGTAAAAAGTTTATTTGTATAGCTAGTACAATTTTTTATGCGTTAATAGTTACGTTTACTCATAACAAACATTTATTTTTTGAAAATTAAAAAAATATTAACTTTAATATCTTACATGTTCCGTCTCCGCGCGCATCAAGTTTACCATATCTCTAGTTCTATTGGACTGGTTGAGACGCATGATATCTCATTTTAAAGTTTTAACCTTATTTTACAAGATAGGTAAATTCCATTAATTATTAATTTATTTAACAATTATTGGCAGCTTAGAAAGTTGTGAAATTTCAACGAAAATGCTCGTTTTATTTGTTTATAAGGCTTTTTTTATTATGCAACTTCGATGAAAAGCCAAAAAAGTAACCAGATATTGTTATAACTTTAAACACGTTTTAAAGTAGGTTGCCAATGAAGAAAAGTATTGCAAACTTAGACCTGGTACCCCACCACCACCACCCGTATGATTTTCTTGAATTTCTCGCTTGCATAAATAACTTTAGACACGTTTTAAAACAGGTTGCCATGAAGAAAAGTTTTGCAAACTTAGCCCTGGTAAGTACTCGGAATACCAAAGGTATTTTTCGAAAAATTAGCCCGGATATCCCAGTACATTTAGTATAAATGTCGGTTAACATTGCTGGGCTATAACTATGGCGTTTTTTCAAGAACTTTTAAAACCTATTTTAAAAAATTTGATTTGGTTGAATATTCACAAAGTTATTCTAATTGTTTATAAGTACAAAAATTCGACCAATGTTTAAACAAGCGCCAGAGCTCTCCTAATTGACAGGTTCGAATTTTTCAAAAAGGTTTGAAAGCTTGAGAGCCCTTCTATATGTGATTAAATTTTCAAATATTTAAGGGCCTTGGTTTTTTGCTGTACAAAATTTTGAAAAATTGCAATTTTTTTTTCAAAATTTGTATTACAAAATTATTATGCAAAATCTATAGAACCGATTTTGATGAAATTTGGTGTGATGATTCCACATAACATGAAGTTTTCTTGATACAAGTATGACTGTCCTATACCCAATTCAAAGATCCCAAAAAAATCCCTAAAAAGGAATTTTTTTTAACCCCATTTTTGGCGATTTTTTTCGATTTTTACAATAATAATCATGATTCATTCGATTTGTAACTAGTCATATTTTGTAAAAAAGTTAATTACAAACATTTTTATCCTGTTCCATTTTAGCCTAAAATCAACTCTTAAAAAGATACATAATTAAATAGGAAGAAAAATATGACATTTTTCAAATTTTTTTAACATATTTTGCCGCCAAAAGTTAAGCCGACGTTTTTTTATGCGCATAGAAAAAATTGTAATTTCTAGTGATATTCGAAAGCCAAACAGCCAAAAATCTCCGTGGATATACGATTCACCCAAATATGGACTTTTTGAAACAGATACCGTTTGGATTATTATATTAATGTTTTTATTGCGTAAAAATAGACAAGCATTTCCTACTAAGTTGGCCATCAAAAGAGTTATATGTCATAAAGTGCAAAAGATGGCGCAGGTATATAATGTTTATTTTTTTCCATTCAGAGTATACAGTAAGGATATTTACTATATGGAGGCTGCAGTATCAGCACAAATAGGTGGATATTTTGGCTAATAACTTCTACATATTCACAGACAAATGGTGAAATCAAAGAATAAGTAACCTTTACTTAACATTTTAACCATCAACCAACAGATGACCAGATGATTTGCTTTAGTACACACTGTATTTTGATCAAAGGATCATGACACTCTGAATAGGATTTTGAACAACCGCGGATGTGCCTTGATTCAAATCATTTATTGAAGGACAATTTGAAAATAAATAGTTGTGCAATAAGTTGTTACTAAATTAAAGGAATTAACATACATACCTATCTAGGCATTTTATCGTATGAACCATTTTGGTGATACTTACATACAGGGTGTTTATTAAGTACGTATACATACTTTAAAGGGTGAATCTTTGATTAATTTTAAGATAAAAAACAAATGAAAAAACGTGTCTTTTATTGATTGTATTGCGATGTGACAAACTTAGATCATTTACAAGACGAAGACTAGACTACAAATAAATTAATAAAATTTACAATAATTGCTGAAAATGACCTCCGCCTACTGCAACGCAAGCATCAATTCGCCTTAACATTAATAATGGCACACGATTCAAATATACTGTTTCTTAGACCTTGTTCATTTTGGTCTAAAGTTTTGTAAACTAGTGACTTCAAGTGACCCCATAGAAAATAATCCAAAGGATTCAAATCTGGTGCGGTTCTGCCAAATTTTTTTTTGGACGCCCAGAATCGCAAGAACCAAGCCGTTGAGGACCCATGTTGAACCTTTTATCTTAAAATTTGTCAAAGTTTCACCGTTGAAAATTTGTACAAGTACTTAATAAACACCCTGTATATTGGCACTTCAGAAATTATAAAAGAAAGAGGAAAACGATTAAATGGGGAAAGTTGTATTGTTAATGTAATTAAAGTGTACACAGACGGGTTCTAATTTCTTTCCATTTTTGAAATATTTAAAAAACTAAAAAGTTATATTTTTGAAAACTATTTTGTATTATGAAATTTTTGAAATACATAAATTCATTAGTTCAGCAAATTTTTGGAAAGAATTCACTGTGGATTTTTGTTTCATCATTTCAAATATAAGTTGAGGGCAGTTTCTTGGAACCGGAAAGTTGAATAAAAAATCTAAGGTCACAATAAAAGATTTTGCTGTTATATAATATTCTTACAGATTCCAAAAATTATAGCAGATTTACGAAAATGATGAACATTTGCTTTTTTGACAATATTTCGAAAATGGAAAAAACTAGAATCTGTCTGCGAACATCATTATGGCATTCAACAATCTCGCTCATAATTTCGAGGTCTCAATAAATGCATCTCCAAAAGGGCCCATACGGACAGTATGGTTGTGTGCGAAATAAAAAAGTTTTACAACTAAAAGTTTTTCCCAGCGCTATCAAGACAAAGGTATATTTCTAAAAAAAAGAAATTATTACAGCTTCACCGGTTGGTACATTTAAAAATATTTTGTTCTTCATTTGAGTGATAGTCAAAGTACAACATTGTCTCAAAATTTAATTATCTTTAGTTGCTTTCAAGGAAAACGGATTTACTAAAATGTATTCATCATCGTGTACAGTTAAACCTGGATCAATAATGGGCCCATAATTATGAAATCACAATTTATATCTTGCTGTGCATAATTGATTAATTAAACTATTCTTTAATAGATTTATCTGCTGTTCTCAGTATAGCGTCATGTTCTGATACATGGAAATTATTTCGTTCAGCAGAAGATGAAAAATTACTACACATGGCTATTTCTGGTAAGTTTACAATAATCTTATGTCATAGCAACTAATTTCATTTAAAATCATTTGTATATGTATATGTCCATACACTCCAATCATTTTGTCCAAAAATTGATGAGAGTTGATGTTTAAAAATAATTAGTCGTGTTTTTAGTGAAAAAAACAACAATGCACGAAACGAGGGACATATTAATTTATAAAAACTTATTTCCTTTGTAATATCCCTTAGATTTTCAAACATTATTCAAAAGTTCTACTTTTAAATCCGTATTCTATAGCATATAGCAGCACACCAAAGGAAAAAAAAATCACGGTGCCTCCATCATATATCATGGTCAGAGGGAAAGAAACTACGGCACCAGTGACTGATGGGTAGCAGCATAAATAACTGTAATTTTTACGAAAATCTACATTTTATTAATAAAACCCTACAAGTCCTGTTTTCATCTACAATATGTCTTATAAATTAAACAATTATTTTATTACTTACATTTTCTATACAGGGTGTCTCAGACACTAAACATATTTCCAAGACTACTTCGATTTTAATTTTGAAAATTTGGGCAATAGTGTTTTCGTGCATGCCTTTCTCAACCAACATAATGGCCTCCACCTAACGCTTCCGGTTATACCGGAAGTTGACGTGATCTTTGTTATTTTAAATAGAACACTCTGTATATTATTGCAATTTTGGATTCTACGTCAATTTTTAGGTGAACTTTCATAAAGGTTTCCTATTCTTAAAGTGAACCGTTTTTGATATATTTAATTTTTTCCAAAAAAATTAAAAAAGCACTGCCTAGTTAAAAAATATATGTATTTTACAATAATAAAGTTAGAGCGATAAAATTTATAGATGACATAACTAAAACTCGAAGCTTCCCTACCATAATTTCAAGATGACTTAATTTCATACAAGGTGGTAGAAATTTAATGCCGAATTTAGTCAACTTTAAACTACTGTGGGTACACATGTTCGCAAGTGACTCATTTTTAAGTACAACGTCAAGAGCGCCAGCGAGACGCCGCCCGGACGCACCACAGGGTTCCCGCAAGACGACCCCGGCAGAGTGGCACCAAGGACCAGGGACTTCTGCCAGCGACGACACACGAAGACGGACTCTCCAACGAACACTCACCCCGTCAACACGTCTTTTAATAAAATACTTTATTATTACCGTTGAGATATCGTTTTATTCTTGCTGTACAACCAAAGCAAACCTCACTACCTTAACTTATTTTTTTTTTAAATTGAACACCGTGTATATTTTTACGCAATCTGATGAACAATTTTGATCTTTTTCGAACGGTATAATGGTTCCCTATACTTATCTCTTCTAGTTTTTAAGGTATTTACTGTTTATTCGTGTAGTCAACGGATTTCGCATAATTTCATGCGAGGATGGCTGTGAAATTTTTAGTGGAACTCCAAAACAAACACCTAATCTGTCACCAGTTTATTGTTACCAATTTAACACATACAGTCCATTGAAAAGTTAAATTTGGGGTTGCAAAAGTCAGAGCACGCAATTTTATTTTTTGGATGTCAAGAAGGCGTTAGTGTAAAGTTAAATCCATGTTTGTAGGGTCGCAACCCTTGTGCATCGGCCGTCATCTTGTAAAACGGGCTGCGAATGGTTTTTATACTACTACTTACTATATCGGACAAACTATTCGTCGCACAGAAAATTTGTAAACACATTTTTTGTTGCAAATTAATTAATTCTCTACAAATTTGATTCCGTAACTTTTAGTCGTAGAACCAAAAATAAAAAAGTTATAAACGAAAACATATAAAAATTTGGGAACGAATTTTCTTTTGTTCATTATAACTTTTTTTCTGGTCATTTTACAAAAAAATTACATCAGAGCATTTTGATAGAGGGGTTTTCAAGGAATAATTTCCATTACAAACTTTTTTCAAATTTTATTTATTTATTAGGGTTTTACAGCGATACGAAACTTACACTATACTCCAGTACTAGTAAATATACATTAATATGAATGATTAGGCATAGAAGGTGTCCTTCAAAGTTTTCTTTCAGTTGTGCTACCACGTGCGTGCGTGATGTATTTAATTGTGGAAAGTATTTTGAGTTTTGTGGACACTATTTTGAATTTTGTGGACAAGAGGTGGGTTTCAGTGTCGATCAAGCAGAATCAGATGCAGATACCCTCATCGTTCGTTCCGCTCTTGCTGCATCCCAATCGTTCGACTCAGTCACTATTGTCGCCGACCACGGCATTTGGAAGAACACATTCAAATGTATTATTTTTTAACCATCAAAAGGACGTACAGCCGAACAATTATATTGTCCGTCAAGTTTTATGTACGGAGACGTCACTGTGGATAATCTGTTGTTTCTCCATGCCTTTTCAGGATGTGACACGACTTCAGCAGCTTACAACATCGGTAAAATGAAATTTCTCACAACCCTGGAGACACGTCCTGAGTTAGCTAGTGGAACAGCGTTATTCCTCAATGAGAGAGTCGACCCTACTTTGCTCACTGCCGTTGGCGAACGTTTTTTCATCTCTTTATATGGTGGCATTAAAGATGATGATTCTCTTGACAGTCTTAGATATAAACGATTCGCAAAGTCAGTGACAAAGAATACATTTAATTTGTCTTAACTTCCTCCAACACAAGACACAGCCCGCTTGCACAGCCTCCGAGTCTATCATCAGATCCAGTCGTGGCTCGGGAATTACAACGACCCTCAAGACTGGGTCTGGAAAAAGTATGGACAAATATTGACGTCTGTTCAAAGTTCAAAACCTCCAGCACCCCCTGAGCTTCTAAAGTTGATATTCTGCCGATGCAAAGGAAACTGTGGAGCAATGTGTGGATGTCGGAAGGCAGGCCTCAAATGTTCTACAGTGTGCCTGAATTGTTCTGGGGAGACATGCAGCAACATAATGAAGATATCAAAATTGATCGAGGAGAATGATTTTGAAGATGAACTGCCAACAATGACGTCACTTCATTCTCTATCCTTCCTCAACAATTCAATATTGGAAGCTCAACCAGATCCTGAGTCGCAGCTTGGCCTATCAAAGAGATTGAGGACACAGTAGATTGGGAAATATATTTCGATATTTTTAATTACACTAATTATTATGTCAGCTAGAAAATGTCCGTGGATTCTGCCTACTAGGGATACGACGTAAAAAAACGCGCCATCAAACTCTACCTCGTAGGGGGTGGGGAAAAGAGTCAATAACTAATTAACAACAATGTCAATCATTAAAATGTTTCTTATACAAATAATGGAAAGATGAGAAACTATGCCTAATCATTCATATTAATGTATACATACTAGTACTCGAGAATAGTATAAGTTTCGCATCGTTGTAAACCCTAATAAATCAAATTTGAAAAAAGTTTGTAATGGAAATTATTCCTTGAAAACCCCTCTATCAAAATGCTTTTATGTAACTTTTTTGTAAAATGAATAGAAAAAAAGTTATAACGACCAAAAGAAAATTTGTTCCCAAATTTTTATCTATTTTCGTTAATAACTTTGTTATTTTTGGTTCTACTACCAAATTTGTAGAGAATTTAATTTGCAACAAAAAATGTGTACAAATTTTCTGTGCGACGAATAGTTTGCCCGATATATATAGTAAGTAGTAGTATAAAAACCATTCGCAGCCCTTTTTTCAAGATGGCGGCCGATGCACAAGGGTTGATACCCCACAAACATGGATTTAACTTTACACTAACCCCCTCTTGACATCTAAAAAATAAAATTGCGTGCTCTGACTTTTGCACGCTAAGCCCAAAAAAATGTAACATTTCAATGGACACAGTGAATGTTTATTTGAGTAAGTATTATTTATTTTAACATTTACTCAAATGCTGACATTCTAAATTTGTCATTTATTCATAGAGAGTGTCACAACCGTTAGGTGGACGCCATTATTTTAGTTGAGAAGGGCATGCACGAAAACACTATTGCCCAAATTTTCAAAATTAAAATCGAAGTAGTTTCTAAAATATGTTTAATGTCTCGTCACCGTGGGGCACATAAGTCAAGCCAAAAATAAGCGACAAGTCAATAAGATCCTAGACCTAGAAGTATAAATACAAATACAATAATGGGGAAAAATACAAGAAGAAAATAAAAAGTAAATGAAGAAGAAGAGGAAAGTATAAATGGGTTACATAGAAATAAATGAGATAAAAATAGAAGAAAATAAGGAGAAAAGAAAACCTATGAATAAAAGAGTAAAATAAGAAAAAAATAAATGAAAATGAAATAGGAGTTATAGTGTATAAAGAAAGTAAAAAGAAGTTAAACAGAAAATTTATATAGGGAAAGCAAGAAGAAACAAGAAAAAGAAGTAAAATGGCTTAGAAAAAAAGATTATTAAATGAAATAGTGGTAAGTTGAAGGTAAAAGGGAAATAGACTGAAGAAAACCAGTTAAAGTGAACCAGTAGGTAACGTAGAAAGGAATAGTGGTAAAATTAACAAATCATTATTATATTTTATTATTAATATTTGGTTTGTATGGAAATAAATTATTATGCATACATAATGTATTCAAGATATACATAAGTGCACTTAATGCAGTTGGAAGTAATGAAATACACATAATTTCTATATTAAAATAGCTTACCTATTTAATTTTAAAAATAACAATTTATGGAGAATGAAAGACCTTAAGAGGAATCTCTCAAATGCCTAGGAATAGAATGTATATGGATATTAATAATAACAGTTATTTGTGCTACTCACCCAGTCACTGCTATGACAATACTTTTACTCTTCAAATAAATGAGGTTTGAAACAAATATTGATCATTTTTAATAATCTAGCGTTAAAGTTGAATAAAACATTTTGTTATCATTATTATTTTTTATAACTCATATCCTAATAAATGTATTTACTAATGCAAAAAATTCACTAATTTCCAGAAACAGATTGCCCGAGATTACCTAGTAACAAAGCTATAACAATCCCATTGATTAAAAAAGGAGAAGAGATGCCCCAGTTAATACTTGATCTTAGATCAGCTGGAATTTATAACTGGAAGTCAGTTGTAATTATTTATGATCGAACTTTAGGTAAATGTTATCATTAAAATATGTTTCACTTTTCACTGTTTCACTTTTTTTTTTCTTGACCGGTGAATCAAGCTTACCCTTTCTACTTCAAATTTATAATATAATTGTAAGTACCTACTTTGATTATTTCTAAATATTTGCAAAATAAGAGTATTTCATTAGTTGTACCACAACAACTGTAAGTACTTTTTATATTTATACCGGTAAAAAGTTGTATAGGTACTTAAATATCAAATACCAATTATATGTATCTCCAATGAATCTGAGAGTATGCTTATTGCTATACAAAATTAAATTAATAAAAAAATAAGAATCCACAGAGGACGAAACAATAACGGCACTGTGCTGTGATCAAAAATTGTGTTTCACTTCTCTCATTTGTAGTGTCGTACCAAGACCCTTTAAAAACCTTTTTAAAACAAGAATGTGACTTTTTTCTTTGTGTTGACGATAGGAATTAATACTGAAAATTTGTAGTAACGTCGCTTCTTAAAAAATAAGCCGAATTGATTATTTTCGTTTGTTTCTATGTTCTAGATAGAGACATGACGACGCGTGTAATAAAATCCATTACACAACAATCGAATTTGAATATAAAAGCCACAGGAATTTCTTTAATAAAACTAGAGAGAAATATTACAAAATACCATTTAAATGAAATTATGTCTACCATACGTACCAAAACGGTAGGAGGAAATTTTTTAGTTATAGTAAGTCATCAGTTGGTGGAAACCATTATGGAATATGCAAAATCCCTTAATCTCGTAGACATAAAAAATCAATGGTTATACATTATATGCGATTCAATCTATAATAACAGTGACATAACATCTTACAAAAGACTGTTACGAGAGGGAGATAATGTTGCTTTTGTATACAATACGTCAATAACATCAGAAAATTGTAGGGTAAGTATTGTATTGCATTTCAAAATTAAATTATGCAGGGAAATTTGGATTCAAAATGAAATGCAAATGTACATGACTGATTCGTATCACATTATTGAATTTCGCACTTAGTCCAGTCGAATTAGAGTTTGAACTTTGCGCAAATTGTAAATAAGCGAAAAAAATCACCTACGCCTCTTTGTTCCCAAGATAGTTTTTTTATAACGTTAATTGTTAATTTACTATTGGACAGATCGGATCGAGGTTTTAGAGACAATTAAAGAAAGGGTTAAACTTTTATTTTCAAAAAGTTTTACATTGATAGTTCATGTAATAAACGCGTTAGCAGCAGTAAAATTTAACGTTAATGAACGGCCTGCGCGCACGAGAAAGAGCACTGGGCTCGCGTATGCACGTGAGCGCCGTTCGGTCTCTATATCTTGAGAACAGCTGGATCAATTTTGATGACTTTTATTTTGACTTTAGGTATTTCGTCGAGACGTCATGAAATGTATACATTGTCGGTATTAATCTGTTGCAAATTAAACATTAAATATGTATAAATTAAAAATATTCATATACTTCTACTTGTAACTGAATAATAGGTACCTATAAATATTATTTTTTTCTTATATTTCATTTGTTTGCTTTATTGAAGGAATATATTTGCAGAATATATATATTTTAAAAATTCCAAGGGGATAAGGCAGTAAAAAAATACAAAGCAGTAATGACTTATAATTATAAAAATAAAAACTTTTATTCTTATTATAAATATGTCCTTTGATTTATTGTTATTCAATTCTACTTTTTTTGCAGGAATGAATTCATTACCATCTTCTTCGTCTTGCATAAAATTTGTCTCTTTACATTTACAAGTTTCTCTAGTGCTAGCGCATTTATTACATGAACTATCAATGTAAAACTTTTTGAAAATAAAAGTTTAACCCTTTCTTTAATGGTCTCTAAAATCCTGGTCCGATACGTTCAATAGTTTATTAACGTTATAAAAATCTTGTGTACCAAGCCATTAGACCATTACTTTACAGTTAACAAATTGGTGAAGTATGATTTTAGGTAGGTACTTAAATTGTAGGTAATTTAAGTGCCTACAACAGAAAATAACTAAGTTTGCAATAAGTAGCCTAGATTTTCATGGGATTAAAAAAATTGAAAAAAAAACCAGAATTTTGCCTCTTATTTGCAATTTGCTACCTTAGCGTCACTTCTTTCGAGTTAGTTTTTTGATATTATCATTCTACATATCCTTCACCGTCATAAAGTGCCATAAAATGTGTATTAATGATTTTTTTAAGTTGTTAGAGTTTATGATTTAATTCTACTGAACTAACTGGTTTATACTGGGAGCCGATCTATACGCGGCGATTTTAGAATTTTCGTCTTTCTTTTTAAAGTAATACCACAGACAATACAGCTAACCGCTGCACACTGGAAATTGACAATCCGAAAAGGATGCAGACTCCTCTGAGCTGGCATCTAACAATAAAATTTAGTGTGGTAACTCTTTTACTCAGTAATAGGTGACAGTTCTAGCGGTTGGGAAGTATGGCAGTGGTGCCAAGACTGCCAAGTGATAACTGGGCATACATATAAATCTAATGCATTAAACTATGTAATTGAAGAGTCATATGAAACTTATTTTTTCTTTGGAAATGACATTCGTGTTAAATGCTAAATAAAATAAATCAAGTTAGAACTAAAAATTTGAATTTACCTAATTAATTATTTATTTTATATAGAGAATTCAAAAATTTTAAATTAATGTTTTTAGATTTGTGCGTCCACTTCCAATTTGGTACAATATTAACACCTATGTTAAAAAAATTACATTATACAGGTTGTGTAAAAATGTAGGGAATCACATATTTTTTATTGAATATTGTATAAGTCAACATACCGATAAATAAATATGGCTATGAATAGGTACTGCTTTTTTATTGTTGATTTCTTCAGATAGGTGAATTGTTGACACAAGTGTTGTTTTGTGACACAGGGTGTTCAAAAAAATTAAACAGTGTAACGTTTCCTTAAGAATAGTTCATTAACTTTTAATTTTCTTGAAAATTTTATTTAATAGAATTGTTGGAACTTCACGGGGTGATTGAATACGAAGATTATTAAAAAAAAGAAAAAAATCATCAGTTGCAATTTTTAACTAACTTTTGCATTCAACGCACAGTTTCCGAGTTATAAGGGCTTTTTTACTGTATGACGTTATACTCTTGTTTCCGAACTTTATTTTCAATATACGGACTTCGGACCTTTTGCATTCAACACAAAACGGACGATGTGGAAAATTTAATGAGAAGTACCAAATTAAATATTGACCACATTAATTTTTAACGACATTAGGTTGGAAAAAAGTGTCACAGTGAAGAGGTTTTGGAAGGTTTCATGAAAGCTCTAGATGAAGCTATTCAAGATGAGTATGACATAGCAAGTCAAGTCTCCGATGAAGAATGGGAAGCTATTAGACCCACTAAATTAGAACGACGAAATTATCTCCTCGACCGGATAAAGGTAAAACGAAATGTTTCCGTTAAAGTAACAACCAAATTTTTAATTTTAATATTTAAGAAACATTTAGCAAGACATGGAACTTGTGATAATTGTACTTTCTGGAGAATGAGTACTGGTGAAACATGGGGTAAAGAATATCAACTTGCCAATTATTTTAAAAACAGTGAAATTCAGTCGGTTATTGAAATCTTACCTGTAGGAACTTGGAGACCCAGTGATGGTCCTTCTATGAATGATGAATTATTTTTACATGTCGCCCACGGTTTTAGAGGTAAAACTTTACCAGTAGTTTCATTTCATGTGAGTTGGGAATATGCTAAAAGAAATAAGAATATTTTATAATTATTGTTTCGTTACAGAACCCTCCTTGGCAAATTCTCAAAATCAATGAATCTGGAGAAGTTACGGAATACACGGGATTAGTTTTTGATATCATTAAAGAACTCTCCAATAATTTAAATTTTACATTCACGGTGGAGGTCGTAAATAAAACAGTGATAAAAAATAGCAGCGTAGGAAATAATTCTCTGGAAATAACAAATATAGCTACTAATAGTATACCAACTGAATTCATAGATATGATACGAAATAAAAGCGTTGCGTTTGGAGCATGCGCTTTTACCGTCACCGAAGATAATAAACATTTAATAAATTTTACAAGCCCCATAAGTATCCAAACATACACATTTCTTGTTGCTAGACCCAAAGAATTAAGTAGGGCCCTTCTTTTCATTTCACCATTTACTGGAGATGTAAGTATTTTTATTATTTCATTGTAAATGATTATCATGTTAAGCTTTCTTAGAAAAATTAGTAACATTTGAATATTTTTCAATAATTACATACAGAAATTATCCTAAGCGTTCTACATTCAAGGATAAATTTATATCATTTAGTGATGTGATGTGATAGTGATTCAGCAAATTATCCACTGGATAAGAATAAGTAGAAAGTTGTAGCTATCAATTAGAAGTTTTTATATGATTATTTTGTACACCATGATTTTTTTATTGAATGGCCCTGGATACTATAAGGTATACAGCAGAACAGATTTTCAGAATTACAACGACAATGTTTGATGGGCTTATCTCTAATGGTAAGGGAGATTCATATCCAGTGAGTTTGCTGGTCAGTCCATTCTTTGGATATTGCCTTGCTGCAACATGTTCTATACTCTTCGCGTGCCATGTGGTCTGGCATTATCGCCTTGAAAAATGAAATTTTTTCCAAATTCGTGGCGCAAAGGCTGAACGATGGGTTCAGTAATGTTTTCAGCGTATATGGTACCTGTCATTATTTGCTCAATAACAATAAATGGAATACGACGACGATACATAATACCCCCAAAAACATCACTGATCCGCAAGGAACAACTTCTCTAGCAAAAGTGAGTCGTTCCTGTCTGCCAGGACGTCTCCAGACCCTTCCCCAAAGACCAAATCGATTTGCGCCATTGTTGCAAAACCCAATCCCTGTAGTCTTGGGCCCATTGGCGACGTGCAGCTCTCTGTCGGGGTAAAAGTCTTGACACTCGTAAAGATCTCCGTGCGCTTAGATTTTCGAAATGTAATCTTCTTCTGAGAGTACTTATCGAAAGTAATCTGTGGTATGTGCACAAAAATGATTTCGAAGAGCTGTTACCGTTATAGTTCGGTTTCTTTTGGTGAAATTGGCCATATTATGGTCTTCTCTCTCTGCTGTTACTGTGGATCGACCAGGGACCGGTCTTCGCGCAACGCTGACAGTTTCCCGGAAAAGGATCGCAATGCGCTTCACCGACGTCCGTGGCATGTTCAGACGACGAGCAATGATAATTTAATAATCACTCTTGATGTAAGGCCACTATTCTTGCCCGGTCAAACTGAGAAATCGGATTACCTGGCGTTTTGTACAAACTTTAATTGACAATTTACTACTCAATGTCAGTCTCACACTGATTTCTTCATAGAAATCAGCATATTTCTGAGGAAAAAATAATTTTTTGCTACGATTTAATTTTTTCTTGTATGTTAAGATACTAAAGAAATCATACACAAAAAGTGGCCACTTGATATTGGAAAACTTAAAAGTTATTAAGGGGGGCCAAGGCTTTTGAAGATGTGTGTAATTTGGCGAGATAGAATTTTAGTACAAATATGTCAGTCATCTTGGACTGTATTCAAAGTTATTCGTCTTGTGCCCTCATTTCAATAGCACGTTCTCAAGTGTTACTGAAAAACTTGCCTGTTTCTCGAGTTTGTTTTTCAACATTGGAAAATGTTTCTCTATGGGGGATTACACGTTTTGGAAATCTTCTCCGATATTCTTCAATACGTCTTCTGTACAATTACTAAAATTAAATTACTTTTTTTCCTGATCGTCAAGTTTGACGTTTAAATCCAAATTTGGTTTTTCTAAGTTCAAGTATAACTGAGATATTGTTTTTTTCCAAATTTGATACCCCACTTTCAAGACCTATAACTTTTCAAGGGTGCAACTTAGTATAAAGGTAAATTGCCTTTTTACCATATGTTGAGTTCCCCTACATGCCCCTACCTTTTGTCGGTATACTTGCTACTACACTACTGTACATAATGTTTTAGCATACAGGCGCTATTTACATTGTTTACAGTGACCCAAAAAATAGAATTAAATCGTCAACAACTCCGTGAGATAGTTTTTTACAACTTCCGGCGTGGATTATCACCAGTGTATCGATGAACTTTCGACTTTTGGCGATGAAGCAGTATCAAACAGTACTATACAGGATGATTTTGAATAGAGTAGCACAAACGCTACCAGTGCAACTAGATGAAAGGCGAATGAACTAAATATACCTTAGACAAAAGTTGCACTCCTGAGGCATTACAGGGTCTTGAATGTTGTAGAGCCAACCAATATTTCCTTCAATTTATCTTGAACGATGTGGCGTAAATAATTTATATTTGGTACAGACATTTGTCCAGTGCGGACACATACTTTCTATTAATATTGTTTAAATATACCCACCAGAGGCGCTGCTGTCGACTACATGCAACATATTACTCCAAAGAATTTTTCACCCTGTATGAAAATACATATCTTATTTGCATTTTCGGACGTAACAACTAAAAACAAAAATTTTTTCTCTCTTGCATTATTTTGATAAACGCGATAGTTTTTTTTTAGATAATTTACGAAAAACAAACTTCGGAAATTTTACAGCGCCAATGGTTGCAGTCAGGTTGCAGTAATACAAAAACATCAACACACCACTCATTAACAGCTAAAGGAAAACGCTTTTCTGGTAAAGTAATTTTAATAAAATTTATTTTGAAGGAACAGTAAGTATTCGTTATGTAACAAATCAAGTGTCTAATTTAATTAATAAATTTTAATTTAAAACTACCTAATGTAATCTCGAATGTAATACTAAGGAACATAACGTTATTTTAAAGTAAAAAGTTTCTAAAGAATATTTTCAAAGTAGTTCCCATTTTTCTGTAAACACAATCTAACGTGACGATTAAAATTATGATGTACTCTTGCAAATATTTCTGGGTTGTTACGAATATCGTCAACTGCGAGAAAGATTTTTGCCGCAATTCTTCAACAGTATTAACAGGAGTAGCATAAACAAGACTTTTCAGTTGTCCCCATAAGAAATAATCAAGTGGGGTAATGTCCGGTGAACGGGCAGGCCAACTAACGGGTGCATCGACACCACGACCTATCCAACGTCCCGGAAAATTTAAATTCAACCATTGCCTGACAGCTAAGGTACTATGTGCCGGAGCCCCGTCATGCATGTACCACATAACTTGTCGTACACCTAGTGGTATATCCTCCAATAATATTGGGAGATTTTCATTTAAAAATCGAAGATATTCAAGAGCTGTCAGTCGACGGGGAAGAATAAATGGACCTATTAGAGCATCTCCAGCAATTCCTGACCATACATTTACACTAAAATTGTGCTGAAATTTTGATGGACATATTTCATAGGGGTTTTCATCAGACCATGTATGACTATTACGATGGTTAACTAAGCCATGTCTTTGAAAACATGCCTCATCGGTGATCAAAATATGAGATAAAAAATTTAAGTCGTGTCTGGACATGTTAAGATACCACTGGCAAAAAACAATCCTTGCAGGTAAATCATTTGCAGTTAATTCTTGAACCGGCTGGTGGTGAAAAGGGCGTAAAAGGTTATCATGAATCAATAAACAACTATTATTTGAAACCGTTGATGACACTGACACATCAGCACAAAAATAGCAAATTGTTTACTCAGCAAATTTGTTGGCGAAGTATTCCCATACTTATCAATTTAAGCAGGAAATCCTCAAACAAATCGTGTTAGATTGTGTTCAAAGGAAAGTGGGAACTACTTTCAAAATATTCTTTATAAAATTTTTTACTTTAAAATAACGTTATGTTGTAGTATTACATTCGAGATTACAGTAGGTAGTATTAAATTAGATATTATTACTTAAATTATACACTTAAAATAATTTTATTTGTTACATAAAGAATACTCCTAAATAAATTTATTAAAATTACTTTACGAGAAAGGCGTTTTTTTTTTTGCTATTACAGAATGGTGTGTTGATGTGTTTGTTACTGCAACCATTGGCGCTGTAAAATTTCCGAAGTTTGTTTGGAGTAATATGTTGCATGTAGTCGGCAGCAGCGCCTCTGGTGGATATATTTAAACAATATTAATAGAAAGTATGTATCCGCACTGGACAAATGTCTGCCCCAAATATAAATGATTTACGCCACATCTTTCAAGATAAATTGAAGGAAATATTGGTTGACTCTACAACATTCAAGACCCTGTAATGCCTCAGGAGTGCAACTTTTGTCTAAGGTATATTTAGTTCATTCGCCTTATTTTTTTTATCTAGATGCATTGGTAGCGTTTCTGCTACTCTATTCAAAATCACCCTGTATATCGGTGGTATACGGAATTCAATCGTGGCCGTGGTTCGCCCACTGTCGAATTTCGTAAAGGTTGTCCAGAATCGGTCGTCCAGAAAACAATGATGCTGCAACTGAGATATTGCAAGAACGTCATGTGAGTTATCTTGAGATTGAAGCATCTTTGGACATTAGTCAGACCAGCATACAATCAATATTGCATGAATATTAGGCTAGCAAAAAAATTTGTTTGCGTTGAATCCCACATAATTTGACAAACATTCAAAAAAATGCTCGTGCTGATTGGTCGAAAGAAATACACAAGAAATGTGATGGTGCTTCAAAACACGTCTGTGGCATCGTAACAGGTAACGAATCATGGATCTATGTGTATGAGCCGGAAAGTAAACACTAGTCGACTGTATGGGATGAGTCAAATCCAACAGGTGTTCGTTCATGAAACACTTCTAAGCAAATGGTCGCCTGCTTTTTCGGAAAAATCGGACATGTGATAACTGTACAGAACTATTTGTTTGCCAGAAATCTTCGGAAAAATAAGGGAAACTAACCGTTGAAGACCCATAATTCTCCACCAGGACAATGCGAGCTCTCGCACATCGGCTTAAACAAGACTTTTTGAGAACTGAAAAAATCAAATTGATGTGTCATCCGCAGTACAGCGCATTTTTTTTAACCCAATGACTTTTTTAATTCTCGCTCATCAAAAATAAATTACGATATTAACGTTTTTCGACGCCTGAAGAGCGATTGATGCGTTCGAAATGCAGTTTTGGAGGCATCTCAATCGGAATGGAAAAAGTGCTTTGAAAATTGATTCAAGCGCATGAAAAAGTGTATTGATATCCATAGAGAATATTTTGAAAAACAATAAAGCCATATACCATATTTAAATATAGTGACAAACTGATTAAGTGGCGATATAATTTGTTGGTGTTCAGAATGCAGCAGGTTATGCCTGATGGCATCAATATGAGAATAGAATTTACAGAGAAATTAAATTATTATTAAAACTATTAAAAAACGTCCAGTACTCTTCGATCTTTCGCACCCTGATTATAAAAATGTGTGTGTTAAAGTTTAAATAGATGCGATAGACCAAATTTATAAAATACGCTATTTAAATTAGCTTTCTAACTTCGTTGATGAAGTAGGTAGTCGCTTTTCATCCAACAAAACTGCAAGTACTTATTACTATTGGTAAAATAAGATCGCATGCAGTCGCCATAACTCAAGTGTGTTCTCTAACAAACGCGACCACGATGGCAATTGAATCCAAAAAAATTAATTGTTTCGCCTAAACAAATTCTCAGTTAACCCCTATACTTCCGCCACTATTGCTCCATTAACATACTGATATTGATAATATAAAGATCAGTGCTGAGTTTTATTAGGATCTGATCAGCCGTTTTGAAGTTATTAAAAAAAGGTGTTTTCACAGTGCACCTCTATCACCCTTTAAATTTTTTGGTAAACCCTCTCGAGCCCATGTCTAAACCTTTTGCTTAAAATGACATTTCTGTGTCCTTCCGGAAAAATATTTTACCAAAATTGCCACGGACAGTTCTTTTAAGATAAGAAAACACTCAATAACTTCCATATAGGTAATTATAAATTAGGAGAAAAGCAATAATCTGCATATCTGTATAACGTTTTACTTGGAACCGATCAGGTGTTTTAAAGTTATTTAAAAAATGTTTTTTTGGCATCTTGCAGCTTTTTAAGATATCATTTAATATCTCTTGATTTAATTTAAAAAACATATATTTGATATATTTACATATTTTTTTCCTCTAGTTTCCTAAGTGTCATTTACCGTATTAGTATGAAATACCATTTCCCTATAAATAACCTGTATATTAGCTTTGTTCCTAGAGCAACCCAAAACAATTTCCAACAGTCAGACGCATGCACATTTCGATATACCTAATACTTACATAAAGTTCGAAATTTATAGTTTCATATCAGATGCGATAGCGTCTGACTGTTGGAAACTGATATTAATGCACTAGGAACAAAGTTATTGATATATCTAATAATTATTCTAAGATTCTTCTTTTGGTTCACTGGTTTTTATTATTATTATTTATATTAAAATTCCATCATTTTATACAGGGTGTCCGGTAAGTACCTCCTAATCTCTAGGGAGTGTATAGGGGAGGTCAAAATAAAACTAGTCCTTCCTATAATTTTTTTTCCTAATGTGCCCCCTAACGGAGTTATGGGGGGTCAAAGGGGTACCTAGAAATTAACGTTTAGGGTTATAACTTTGAAACCACCCTGTATATTTTAATAAAATTTTCGTACGTTGTATTACACATGGAGCTCTACGATTTGATGCTAAAATCAACTTTTTGCTATTATCAGGTGTCCAGAAACGGACTGGCCCTATCACAATTTTTCTCAAAATTTTGACAGAAGTAATTTTATCAAACTGAAAATATTATTATTAGATACTCTGAAGGTTTTTCTTTAAAAATGGTACTCTTTATTTATTTCGAAAAAATGAACGGTTTGCGAGATAAATCGGTTTTGAAAAAAATTGGTAACAAATACAACAACAATTAAAATTTATTTTTTTACAATAAAATCATTCCCGCTAGTGCCAGCCTACAGATTCACCATAAACATTTACTGGTGGTGAATTAAGGGAATGAATAATGCCGTTTCTTGTAAAATCAACATCTATGACCAAAATACATCTACAAATTATTATTGCTCTTGTCTCCATGGAGTTCTTTTCTATTGTTTTCGTTGTTAGACCCTGTTGATTTTAAAGTACTTGTCAAAGGCGCGTGACAGAATAAAAATTCAATTTTATTGTGGTATTCGTTTTAAGCCGTTAGAAATAACATTTAAAAATGGAAGAATATTCCTGTGCAGAATATGCTGATATGCACCTAATTTATGGGGAAGCATTATGCAACTCCGTGGAGGCAAGAAGACTTTATGAGGAAAGGTTTCCGGGTCGACATTTGCCGAGTCCAAAAACTTTTGAAAGAGTTGATCGTAGTTTAAGAGAAACAGGTAAAAAAAAATAGTGAAAAACGTTAGTGAAACTAATTTCTTCCGAATCCTTTATTTAGGAAGCTTTTTGCCACGCCGTGGTGGAGCAGGAGCCCCGAGGAGAGTACGAGACCCTCATGTAGAGGAACAAATATTGGAAGACGTTGCTAATAATCCTTCAAATAGCATAAGGAAGCTTGCGGCGCAAAACAATGTTACAAAATGGGCTGTACATGAAACTCTGAAAGAACAATTGCTTTACCCGTACCACATCCAAAAAGTACATGCTATGTCTCCAGATGATTATCCAAAAAGACTTCAATACGCCAATTGGTTTTTACAGCATCATATTCGGAATCATAATTTTGGTACATCTATTTTGTTCACCGATGAAGCAGGTTTTACAAGAGACGGCATAATTAATTCGCATAATCTACATGTCTGGGATGAAGAAAACCCTCACGCTTTAGTTCAAACTCGCTACCAACAAAGGTTTATGGTGAATGTGTGGGCTGGCATTATCGGGAATCATTTGATTGGTCCATTTATTCTGGAGCAAAGACTTAATGGTGCTCTTTATTTGCAATTTTTAGAGGAAAATCTAAATATTTTGTTAGAAGAAGTGCCCCTTCAAATAAGAACTGAAATGTGGTACATGCATGACGGTGCACCACCCCACTTTGATCGTTTAGTACGTCAACATCTGACGAATGTTTTTGGTGATCGATGGATAGGTCGAGGCGGACCTGTATTATGGCCACCTAGGTCGCCCGACCTAAACCCATTAGACTTTTTTCTGTGGGGTCATTTAAAAAATAACGTTTATTCAACACCCGTAAATAGTAGAGAGGAACTTCTGCTGAGGCTAACACAGAACTGTGACCATCTCCGCAATAATCACGGAATATTATTTCAAGTGCACCGGGAAAACATTCGTAGGATTAGAAAGTGCATTGAAGTACGGGGTGCTCATTTTGAACATCTACCGAAGTAACATTTAGGTACCTTTGTTCATTGTTGAATGTTCTTTGTTGCATGTCTTGTAAGTAAGTTATTTTTCAAATGTTATTTTTAATTGGTCACTACTTGCTCATAAAGTATAGCCAACCCGTTCAAAGATTTCTGGACTTGATAAAGTTAAAGAAATTAAATGCATGAAATAATATGTAAAAAAAATAAATTTTAATTGTTGTTTTTGTTACCAATTTTTTTCAAAACCGATTTATCTCGCAAACCGTTCATTTTTTCGAAATAAATAAAGAGTACCATTTTTAAAGAAAAACCTTCAGAGTATCTAATAATAATATTTTCAGTTTGATAAAATTACTTCTGTCAAAATTTTGAGAAAAATTGTGATAGGGCCAGTCCGTTTCTGGACACCTGATAATAGCAAAAAGTTGATTTTAGCATCAAATCGTAGAGCTCCATGTGTAATACAACGTACGAAAATTTTATTAAAATATACAGGGTGGTTTCAAAGTTATAACCCTAAACGTTAATTTCTAGGTACCCCTTTGACCCCCCATAACTCCGTTAGGGGGCACATTAGGAAAAAAAATTATAGGAAGGACTAGTTTTATTTTGACCTCCCCTATACACTCCCTAGAGATTAGGAGGTACTTACCGGACACCCTGTATATTTTGAAATAAGGTGGTAAATTCGATGAAAGCACATGAATTATAATAACTCCAATCTTTTTAGACATGGTTATGTTTATCAGCAGCTATAATATCAATGGGACCGATTTTATATTATATACATCGCTTTAGTCCAGTGTATGAATATAAAGGCATATCTATGAAAGGAGGTTTGTCGTCTGTTCAGAATTGTATTTGGTACATGTATGGAGCCTTATTACAACAAGGTAAAACGTAAAATAAGAATTATGAAAACCACTAAATATGTCAATTTGTATATTTTAGTCTATATTTTTAACAGCATACTAAATAGGTAGGTATTTTGAAAAGTTTTTTACTAATTAATTTTCTAAGTTGTCCATTTGTAAGCCTTGGTAACTGCCTAACAGATGTTTCCTCTCAGATAGAATGAAACTTTTATTGTGTACATACATGATGTTTGAGAAAAATAAAAGTCCAATAGGAAAAATCGGGTAATTGGAAGCATTTTTGTGTATAAATTTTACAAATTGCATTATTGCATTTCTATTAAAAAGTCGGAAATCGATAGGATGTACCCTATTTTCGCTGCAATTGATCGAAAATTTCTAGAAAAAGGAACTATCGTTGAAGAAAATCCAGACAGAAGTGTTGCCGAATTAAATGTTTTTCTAGGATCCATAGATCATAGAATAACAATGCTAAACTACATTTTTGTAAAGAAATTCATAAATAAACGAAACAAAAATAATGACTTCTACAACACAGTCCTATTTACTGACGAATCGTGTTTTACAAAAAAAAAATATGGAGTAATACATCTTCACGACAGTCATGAATGGAGGGACGATAATTCAAAGGTGTACTTTTCTTAACATCAATTTGTTATTAATTTATGGGCTGGAATTATCGATAATCGTCACCTGTTGAGCTGCCGCCACGTTTAAATGGTGTTCAATAATTTTTCTTAGATCAAGCTTTGTCAGAATATTAGAAAAGATCTATAGTTTATGCACGATGGTGCAGCACCATATTACACTCAAACTGTGCGGCAGTTCCTTAATAATCAGTTTGCTGTACGATGGACTGGACGTGGGTAAGATGCAGCTGTAAATTGGTATGCCAGGTCACGCCGACCTCAATCTTTTAGATTTTTATTTTAGGAAATTCATGAAAGCAAAATTAAAATGAAACCATAGTAACTTACCTTTCATGTTCATATTTTTTATCTGTCGTTTTCTATAAGCAAAGAGCTTCTTTTTCTTGAAAAATGTACATGCTCTCTCTTTTCAACTAGTATACTTTTTTTCTTACCAAAGCTCTTAGGATGTTTAGGAAATTTTGACTTTTAACATATTTTTCATTCAATTATATTCCTCAAACTACCCATATCCACGCCACTGCTATTGGGAATAAATTGATTTGCACGTTTTTGTTAAGTCACAGTTCATGTTGTGTACAAATTTTGACATTTTTATCTTTAGCCGATTTAAAAATAATTAAGGAAAACGGATAAATATGCTGTAAGTAGATATACATTTTGCAATTATTTTATAATTAACAAAATGTATTGTAATGATCATGTTTGCATTGTTTACGGGCACAAATTAGAAAAAAAATCTTCCAATGAGTATTTTCTTGTACCTATAAAGTGTTACTACACTATTATTATTAACGACTCGCCACTGCAAATCAATGGATCTACATTTATGTAGCCAATTCACTAACCAAAATATACATGCGGCCCATTGCCTTACACCCTTTCCGACCGGATTACAGACGGATAACAATAGCGCATATTTTCGGGTCCGTCGGTGATATACGTTTTTTCCCGTATAGTTGGAAGTCTTATTACAATATTTCAGTCAATGTGAAAACTCGTAGTAAAAATTTAAAAACAAGTTTAATGATTTCAAGGACAAAAATATTTTTGGGGCAGGAATTTCTTAAACTGCGTTAAAGCAATTCTTGTTTCGATACTTAATATAATAATAAGATTTATTATACCTATCACTTAAATGTAGTGTGTGTTAAATTTAGTTTTTCATCTCTAACTTTAATATACCCAATTTTTTAAAACCACACCCTATTATTAAAAACTATCATTAGAATTAGGTACTACTGTTAACAATGTTGATACTTAAATTTAGTAATTCAATATGTGCAATTGTGTTAAGTAAGTAGGTATGTAAATACTTGATTAATTTCATATTAGTATAAAACGTAATTATTACATGGAAATAAAAACCAGTTTTCATAATATATGTTTAATATATTCGAATACCTGTTGGTGTAGAGTCTAGTTTTATTAAATAACATACCTACATAATTCTACTATTTACACATAAGAAATGTAAATCTTGATTAAGTTTCTTAGAAACCGATATTAAATATTAAAATAAAAATGCATCCACTATCGGACATTATTTTTCTTTATTATATTTCTAAATGATTCTAAAGGAAAATAAATTAAAACAATTTATTAGAGGTAATCCGACATTTAAGTGGTTTAGTTTGCATTTATAGTAGTAAAGTTATTATTCGTTTAGTCTTGTGGATTCAGCATAGTACCTACATTGTTAAAATATCTCAGTAAATTGAAAGAACTTTTCCACACCCTGTAATACAGTTTTAATTAGAGTTAGTAGATCGCCAGACGTTACGGTTTGATGTCAACTTGCCAATCATGCGTTTCGTAGTCTCGAACACCGTCAATAAATACTAGAACTATTAGCTGCTCCATAAAGTCATGCGGGGCTGTTGGATATGCTAGGTGAGCTAAACGACCTACATCCGCCTCATACTGTTGTAAACTCTCGTTTGTCCTTTGGGTCCTACTTTCCAGCTACGTTTGGTAAACCTCAGTAAGTCTTTGTCACCAAATCAGTGTTGCACTAGGTCTAGGTCATCATAATTGTTGTGTCTTTCGCCTAATATTTGTAAAACTTCTAAGGCCTCACCTTTCAATGACACTACTAGGATTGTCCAGTTATTAACTTTCGCTGCGGCATCAAACTGTTTCATGTAAGTTTGCTAAGAAGATTTACCATCATAAACTGATGGTTGAATTTTTGCCTAACCGTAGTCAGACTGCTTAATTTTCACAGTTTCTATCACGGAGTCATGCCTTCTTTTAATATTCTCAAATTCTTTCTTTATATCTTCTACTTATTTCCTTACAATGGTAATCTCTTCCACTGCTTTCTCTATGTTGTCAAATCTGTGATATACGATGCAGTGGGCTAGTTGGGACCACCGCCTGGGTATCCCAAAAACAATCAATAACACACCGCAAACTTCTGTTAATCATATATTATTAACATACATCTATAGCAACGGTTACATATAAAGAAAATCTCTCGCACGTACCGGGACGTACCTACTAATTATTTTTATTGTTATTCTTGATGTCGTACCGTGTCAGTGTGTTTATCGACTGTTTTTTTCTTCGAGTGGTTTATTATAGACGTACTCTGAACACAACCAAACCTTTCTTGAATGATATCCTGTTGTGAGGCTATTTCGCTTACATGAAATTATCTTTAATGTACATGCTCAGTAACATTGATATAATTTTAACTTATTAATTACTATAAAAGTCAATATTGTTAAATTTAAATATACATATAAATTCTATAATTGTATTAGTTTGTCACTTGGAGTTTGAAACTTCTTAAATATTTCTAATATTGCCAGAATGTCGCGATATTCATGACAAACAAGACAATTTTTTGACACATGTCCAAAGTATTTACATAAGGCCGAAAATCGATCTAGTAAAAATATTGGGAAATTCTTCATGACAATGTATACTATGGGGTTGCCTATTATTTGACGTATGCGACTACTAAAAAGGTCTATTAAGTACACCTAAACGACGATAGTTAAGCAAACATTCCACTTGCACAAGTAAAGTGTTCTCCTCGTATATTAATAGTTAATTACACCGGCACACAAAATAAAAAGTGGTATGTACCTTTGATTTGACCCAATAGGCTTTATGTATTTTGACTTGCTGAATCCGAATCTGATGTTTTTAGCTCAAACACCCTCAAAATTTTGGGTAATTGACAAAAAAGTGAAAAATCGCCGAAAGTCACTTTAGTGAGCCCAAAAAAATTCGAAATTATTTATTCTGAACTTGATCAAGTGGGTTTCTTATGTATTTTGATGTGTTGAATCGAAATCTGAAGCTGCATCTCCCCAGGTTTTGCAAAAATTTCAAAATAACAGCGAAAAATCACCAAAAATAGTTAATAATCGCCAAAGATAACGTTAGTCAGCGCAAAAAAGTTTTCTGACCTTGATCTTATGTATGTATGATACGCTGAATTCGAGTGTGAAGCCTATTTGCCGCATCCCCCACATATTTTGCAAAAAAAAACGCAAAAAAATATCTGAAAATGGCAAAAATCATATAAATGGAAGTGAAAAAATTTACAGAGGTTTTCGAATGACCTATGCAGCGGGTTTCTCTTTCTTTCTGTCTATTCTGATTTGTTGATGATATCAACAGAAATCTGTCATCTTCCTTGGTATTGATACTCCTTTTTACTTATATCTTGATGGAATCTTTCTCCTTCTTCACTGCAGTGTCCAAGGTTTTGAGGAAAGTAGTCGAGGTCAGAGTATAGGAAATTTATTTAAGAGAAGTCTATTTAAGATTCATCAAGCAATCTAACTGTTTAAAATTTTTCAACATCTCTTCAACCAAATTTTCGAAGAATGTATAAATGTAATATTTAAGCGAGACTGAAAACAATCTACTATAAAACGAAATAACTTGGAAAGCAGATGTTCTGCACAAAGATTTAAACAAGAAATTGAAAGAACTTTCATAGGAGAAACTTTGATTTTACATAGAAGATGCCAGTTTAAAGTATGAGATGAGTAGTAATCCCTGTCTAAACTATTCCCACAATATTGGACGGACATGACATTTCAGTCTAATTTTGAAATCCAGCAATATTTAATAAAAAAAATTGGCTAATAATATAATGTAACAGGAGCTAATAATCCTAAATAGTCTAAGATCCGAACTAGAATCGTCCGTCACCCACTTGGGCGCTTTCCGCTGGAGCGTTGCGCTATGAAAATAACATCACGCTGTTGTACTATCTGGCACTTTCCGTGCACCTAACCCCCTATGCTATTATAGGTCCCATAGCGAGCGCGCGTGATGGAATAATATTAACGAATATATCGCGAAAGAGTTGCGCTACCCTTAATTAAAATTATTGTAATATTTTTTCAATATTTCACTGACGTGCTTACAAAACGAAGTTAATACCAATCGAGTGTACACAGCATAAGGAATATGCAAAAGTTAGGTTGCACATACATTTTTCTGTTTTATCTAGATAGATAGATAGCTTTATTTGACCATTTGATATACAATAATACATTTATGGCAAGTCAGAATACACAAAAAAAAAACAAAAAGATAAAAAGATATATTACCGAGTTATTAGGTATAAACAGATGAGTTAATACTAGCAATATGTACTTATTGAAATATATCTTGAAATAAAGATTTTATTGCAAACACGGTGGTATAAGGTTGCTGGCAAAAAAATCGTTAATAATCACGGTTGCGAAGCTTTTATAAAAATTGGAGTTAGCGAAGACGCGCCAACAGAGAAGTATTGTGCGTACTTTTCGGTGCGATAGAGTAGCATAGCAGCTGCGCAACATAAATAAAACAACAACATAATACAAACGAAATGAAAAGGGGATACATATGAAGTCAGGTTTTGTATGAGAACGTAACCAATGGTTTCGCAGAAGACACGTGCTTGATCATTTTCTACACAATTGAAATATGTCTAGTACTTTACACTTGGTGTGATATGCCAAGGGATGATAAACGGGTAAAGAAACTGCTACGTTAATTCGGCGAATCGAGAATGGTCGAATGCGTCTTCGCCGTTACATTTATTTTAGTCAGTTCAGTTTATCGGTTTACTAGAAGGTATTCATCGTAAAGTAAGAAATTTCACGACTTTCTGCGTGAACTATTTGTTTTTACTGGATTTAATATAGAATTTGTAATTTGTATAGTGCAGTGTTGTATTTTATTTTAGTTTAAATTTATAAGCAGAAAAACAAATTGTTCAAAAATAACCCCTGACTAATCATAGGTTTATTGGCTATTTCTTTTTTTTAATTTCTTAATTTACGTTGTGGCAAAATACCCTAACAAAGAGAAACTATTGTCATGGTGTTCTGACTTTGTTTATTCGTGAACGGTGCCATTCTACGAAAAACCTTAAGAGGCGTAGAGGCTGGTTAATTTTTATTTTATTCAAAATTAAAATATGTAGTTAACAACTAATGAGCCTTCATAAATGTTTACAAGCCCCGTGACCGTCGGTTGTAGGCAACCCAACAGTGCACGACTGGTATTAGTAACAAAAATTGACTATATCTTGGCGACAGCAATATTAACAATTCCTTTGCAATGAACAGTAACAAACCGTTACGCCTACGCTCGAGATAATGCGATCGCTGATTGGTTGATTAAAATCTCGTGAAAAATTCAACCAATTAGCGATGACATTATCACGAGCGTAGGCGTAACGGTTCATTGTAAAGGAATCATTAATATTGGTGATTCCAATATTTAGGGAATTTTTGTACCAGTACCAGTCGTGCAATGTTGGGTTGCCTACGCCCGTCGGTCACGTGGCTTGTAAACATTCTTGAAGGCTCTGTATGATGGAACTGTACTGTACTAGGTATAAAATCTACATCTTCCTGAGTTCTCGAATATTTGATAAAAAATTATTTCACATCTAATCTTTAAAGTATCCTAGAGCTCTTAGGAATCACGTTCGGATAAAAATTTTGTTGAGTTATTATTGAGGGAAATCAATTCTGAAAGTTTATTGCAACGTAATATGTAAATTATACAATTTCAAAATATTTAATCACTCGTAAGGTTCTATGATTTCTAATACAACATATTCTTCAATTTTTCAGGTGGTATGCATCTTCCTTATGCCGATAGTGCCAGAATAATCGTAGGATCATGGTGGTTAGTAGTATTAGTTGTAGCGACCACATACTGTGGAAATCTCGTAGCTTTTCTAACTTTTCCTAAAATAGACCAACCGATAACTACAATTGACGAACTAATTGGTCACAAAGATACAGTTACTTGGAGTTTCCGACGAGGAAGTTTTTTAGATATGCAATTAAAAGTAAGCATAAAATTGCGACTTAGTGTAAAAGAGATCGATTCTTGCTTTAGTATTAGCGTAGAATGCGAAATAGTATTTCTCACTGAACGGTATTACCGAATGTAGTAGTGACACCGTAAAAGTCAATGGAGGAAAATGCCGAAAAATTAGTCAGTCCTATCCTTACAATTCCTTTATAAATTATTATTATTTATTGCCATCAATAAATTGACCACAATTAATTTGAAGTTAAAAAATGTATTAATTTCTTTGATCTTGTAAAAAGGTCAAATAGAAAGTCATATATGAATGTATAGCATTTCTAAAAAGGAATTTAATGTAAGAAGAAAATATATTTCATTTGAAATAAGAAAGTTGGGTCAAGAAAGTCAAGCTGACAGAAAACACCTTGTGTACTCCAAAATATTTTAGACCGTTTTGTATTAATTATATTTTTATATTATGTAATATAATAAACGAAAACTATACTATATAGACTAGGGAAACACTCTTATATTTTTTTGCAATTACAGACGTCTACAGAAAGAAGATTCAGAACACTTTACGATGATGCTGTGAAAGAACATAACATATCTAATTTAATTAAACAAATTGAAAATGGGAAACACGTATTTATTGACTGGAAAATGAGGCTACAGTATATAATGAAAAAACAATATTTAGAGACGGACAGATGTAACTTAGCTTTAGGTTAGTTGAATTTCTTCAGTGAAGCTAAACAAATTGGAAATTTAGCTCATAATGGCAGGCATAACATAGATATAACGTGGAGAAAATGTTTATCATTAAATTCTGCGTTTTTAGAAACACGTTAAAGAGTGGTGTTGATTTTTAGTGTTTGGCGGAAATAAAAACAAATGATAACAGAAATGTGCACCAACTGTTTTTATAAAGTAAAAAAAATAATTTTGTAGGCACATCAATTTTCCAAACAACTGAATTAAGTAAAGTAAATATATTTTTTTAAATAAAAACAAGTGATTTTCAGGCAGGATTGTGAGACACCCCGAGTTATTATTTTTCAATTTTATTTAAATAAATGTATAGTACCGCAACCCAATTTGCATCTTTCAACATCTAACTCTAAATTAACCCCACATGGCGCAAGTGCGAAATCTCTTGCGCACATAGCTCTTGCAGCAGTTAGAATATAAAATGAGTGGACACTGGACAGCTACCGGTCAGCGAACCCAGCCAGGACAGGAGGAGGCCCCATGAACTAATCGAATCCGGCCGCGCTGGCGGTCCACAATGCCGGGGAAAGGGCCAACCTCTACGAGGCGTCCGGGCCTACAGTGATGAAGTGGGTAAAGAGCGATAATCCCGCTCGAGCCCGCTCCATCCGAGGTCATTTTCCTGTCAAGGATATTGTCGCGCGGTTAGCGAATAGTCCAGTCCGATCACCGACGCACTTTGCCGCCGACGAACGAACGAAGTGATAACACCACAAAACTTTTTTAATTTTTTTAAAAAGCAGATTTTTCACACTAATAGTTATTAATTACTTAGAAACAAATAACTTAAGAATATCTCTTAATGAACCTCTTTTCGAATTGTTCTTCGAAAAACTTATATTTGCAAATTTTCTTTGCATTTAGCTTCACCTACTTGCAAACAAGTTACTTGGGTTTTTTGCAGGTAGCAAGTGTATTTAAATTTTTAAACTGTAGGTAATGAATTAAATAACCTATTAACAATGGGCAAAATAAAAATACAGATATATTTATATGGTTAAGTAGAATATCAATTACAATTACTCAATATTAGTAAAACTATATTAAAAATATTTTGTAAAAGCTTATATATTCATCATTTAACATTATTAAATAGATTTACGACTGGAATATGTAAGATTTACCCAAGTAGCCTTTTATGAATGTTATTTAGGCCATTTATTTTGATTTAATTAATAATAATATATGAAAATTTGGTTTCCAAAAAATTGAAATGTTTTAGCCTCAAATAACAGGTATTATTCATTACCCCATACAATTTAAAAAATTGGTAATGGCTATAAAACTTAATTACATATTTCTTAATAAAATGTATCTTTTCATATAAGGTGACTTTTTAGACATTTTTTTTTAATAAAAAGTAATAATATTACTGCTTTTTTGGAATTTTTAACACAGCAACATTTGAATAATATCAAAATTTAACAATAAACATTTTCCTTAGCTAGAGGGTGTCGCGCTTAAACGTGATACAAGCCTGTAGCAGTGTAGCTTCTTTATTTTTTGACCGATTTCAATTTTTTTTTTAGAATGTAGGGTAAAAAAACTATCTAATTGTAATGCTGCTGTTTTTATTAATGCAATTCACGGCCAACTAGAACGCGTTTTTTGACGTCAAAACAGCTAATTGGTATTAGCACTTTTTTTCCATAAAACAGATTACGTATTCTCATTCAGCATCTCTTAAAATGTCTTATCACCAAGTTTCATCTAATTCGATACATCTTCAGACGAGCACTAGTTGACCGTGTATTTCATTAATAAAAAACAGCAGTATCACAGTTGGATAGAATTTTTGTTTACCGTATATTCCATAAATTTCTTAAATCGGCCAAAAAATAAAGAAGTTACAGGCTTGTATTATATTTCGCGACATCATAAAGTGCTCGCCTGAAGATGTATCGATTTTGATGAAACTTGGTGGTAAGACGTTTTAAGGGATGCTGAATGAGAATACGTAATCTGTTTTTTGTAAACCGCTAATACCAATCAGCTGTTTTGATATCAAGAAAACGCGTCCTAGTTGGCCGTGATTTGCATTAATAAAAACAGCAGTATCACAATTAGATTGAGTTTTTTTACCCCACATTCCAAAATAAAAATTTTTGAAATCGGCCAAAAAATAAAGAAGTTACAGGCTTGTATCACATTTAAGCGCGACACCCTGTACCTGTAAATATGTGATATGTTATGTACCAGCCTAAATTTTTTTAGGTTTAGATGAATTCTTTGATGAACAATTGGCTCTAATTGTTGCTCAAGATATACCTTACTTACCAACCATTAACGCTGAGTAAGCAATTTATTTTTTTTTCACATTTTGCGTTTTTTATATTTTCTTTTCAACGAATACTTTGGAATTTTTTATTCTTAATACCTTCTATTCCATTACAAATATTGCTCAATTATTGTAGAATTAAAAAACTACATCAAGTTGGACTTATACAAAAATGGTTACAAGACTATTTACCAAAAAAGGACCGTTGTTGGAAAAATCGCCACATCATTGAAGTGAATAATCATACAGTTAATATGGATGACATGCAGGGGAGTTTTTTCGTATTATTTTTTGGTAAGTTGTATTCAAAATACAACGCTCCATTTAATACTATAACATTTTTATAAGTAAACTTTTTATCCAAAGATTTATTGTCACCGTTACCAGTCAAGTACAGAAGTACCATCTAAAACAACAAAATGGATACAACAATAATATATAGAAATTTTATAGCACCTAATTGTTTTAGTTATTTTTAAAAAAATTTTTTATTCACAGTTGTTCAGATTAGTCTCAAATGCTTAAAAATAAATTCAAAGCTAAAATATTGTTTTAAAAGAAAAATATATATAACATACAGAGCCTTCATAAACGTTTACAAGCCATGTGACGACCAAGCTTAGGCAACCAATATTGCACGGCTGGTACTAGTAACGAAAAATCCATCAATCTTGGTGTTACCAATGCTAATGAGTAATGACTCATTTACAATGAATAATGGCAAACCGTTATGTCTACACTCGAGATAATGCGATCGCTGATTGGTTGAATAGAGCCTCGTGATAAATTAAAGCCGGTGAAACAGATTGTTGTGTTTTAATGCAATATTGATCTTATTGTTTAAATAATTGGCTCTATATTTGAAATTAATAGGTTAATATATGCGTACTAGTGATTATAAATAAAAAAAAATTGTATAGGTATTGTGATGGATTATTCTGAGAAATATTTATTTTAGCCAAATTTTGAATATGAGCTTTATTATCATTACCATTATCATTTTCATTATAATTTTTTTCACAGCTTTCACTAGTGGACGGACCAAAGCCAAGTCCATTGGATGTTTATTTTTGATTTAAAAAAATTGTGTTATATTACATGTATTACTGCTTTTGCACAATGGTATGAATATTCTGACCTTCATTGATTTGCGCGAGATGTTTATTGAACGTGTGAGGTGTAATACCTGTAGTTGAAATAATAAAAAGAATGACGTGCACTCGTTTTTGTTTCCAAATTCTTTCTATTTCTGTTGCCATTTCTTGATATTTTTCTTTATTTTCTGAGTACTTTTTTATTACATTTTGGTCAGATGGCATTGCACCCATGATACAATATCTTTATATTGTATTATATATTGCACCGGTATGAAAACAGCAGCCAAAGATAGCAGCTAATTCACCCGACCATGCCCATCTATTATTATTTACTCTGAACAACTTTTATTGATAAAATTTTATATCCAATAGTAAGAAATTCTTGATTGGTTTATTTTCGTGTTTTAGATCATTTAAAAAAAACAATAATTATTCATTCATAAATTAAAATCAGTGCTCTTCAACTTTTTGGACGAATTAAAATTTAAATCAGATATAAAAAAGTTACAGTGTTATATTGGCATACGCATTAACATGCATTTTTTTAGGATTTCTGGTGTCCATTTTGTTGTTATTACTGGAGAAACTTTGGCACAAACATGCTGTGAAGAAGAAGGAAAAAATAATTCAACCGTTTATGTCATAAAAATTTAAAAAATATACAGGGTGGCCCATTAAGAATGGAAATACTCGCGTACAGAAGTTGTTTATGGACCGATTTGAACCGGTTTTTTTTTAAGATCCAAAAGCTCTATCTTGATGCAAAATTTGAAGACGAAATTTTTATTTTCAAGGCCTACTACGAATTTTTTTTTTAAGTGAAAAATAGCAAAATTTTGTTAGCGATTTTTTTATAAAAAATCTGACTACACCACTGGATTTAGGAACCCCTCATATGCATTTGTACCAATTTTTGCGAAAAAAAGTTTGCCTCTAAAAAAGTTATGACAATATCGGCATCACCAGTGTTTGCCATTGTCGGTGAACCTATTCTTTTATAAAAACCGAATAGAACCCAAAGGGAAACAAAATTAAATAACAAACACTGGTTTACTAATTATTAATAAGAATCATAAAAACCAGTATACACAAAATAATCAACAATTACTCTAATATAAACAACAAATGATAAAAAAAAGTAATGATTAAAAAATTACATTTTTAAAAATGAAAAAGGAGTCTATCAAATTGATTTACACTAATCACGTCATTAAATTTAAATTTTTGTAGCTTCTACTAATCTTCCGTTTAATTCTATACATTTTTCATAACGTTTTTTTATATTTTTTACAACATTTCGTAATTGATGCGCGTTAATCTCCTCACATGCTTCCCTTATTCTAGTGCACAATACCTCCCGGTTTTGACCGTGTCTTATAAACTTTGGACTTAATGAAGCCCCACAGAAAAAATCAAGTGGGGTAAGGTCTGGAGATCGGGGTGGCCAATGAATTAATGGACTGTTTCGGCCTCTCCAATGACTGGTGAAATTTTCGTTAAGCCACTCCCTTACATGTCTCGCATTGTGTATTGGACATCCATCCAACTGAAAATGTAGATTTACTCTTTCTTGTAATGGAAGATTATCGACTGCATTAAAAAATTCGTTCTGAAGGAAATGTAGAAATTGTTCGCCATTCATATTCCCTTCAAAGAACGGACCAATGACTCTCTCGTTAAGTATCCCACACCAAACGTTAACTTTCTGACTATATTGTCTTCGGCAATTAATTATCCACTCTGAATTTGATTTGATCTGATTTTCTGAAACCTAACACCGCGAGTTTTGTGATGATACAATTCCATTCGTCGTGAATTTGGCCTCATCGCTGAATAAGATATTTAAAAAAAATCGGTAATTGAGATATTGTCTCTGTGCCCATTATCGCCTGGTTCCAGAGTGTGAAGAAACTTAGGTTTATAGGGTTTTATGTTATTTTTTTTAGGCAGCATCGGATACTTTCTCTAGCTAAATTTAAATCTAAACTAGCAATCCTGAGGCTATTCTGAGGATTGTTTGTAAAATAATTTAAAATTTCCTGCTCGTGAATACGTTGATTGTCCCTTCTTAAAATGCATTTTGATACAGCACCATATTCCATAAAAGTATTGTTTATTTTAAAAACTGTGCTATGCGTAATATTAGGTCTATCTGGATGTCTGTTGTTAAAAATTATACACACCTCTCTTGCCGTCCGATCATTTTCTCCAGAAAGGCGTACTATTTCAATTTTCTCATATAAAGTTAAACTTTGAGCCATCGCAAAGAATTATGGAACTTATTTAACCATGCACAAAAAATATTACAATGTGCCACTACATGTGAAGTTTGACATTTGTTCTTCTATTTTTCACAGCCTACCAAATTTTGTTCATATTATTTTTAAGCAACGTTATTTTCTGGATATCTCGTAATATTTTTTACAGAAAATTCTTCACAAAGAATTGGATTATGGTTGTAGAATCCAGTGGCTTTTTGAATAAAAACATTATAAATGTAATTATTTTTGTCGAAGAAGATAATATTTATAAGTTTTGGCATAATAACCACGAAATAATAATAATTTGATGAACTTGTTGTTTATTTTATGTATACTGGTTTTTAAGGGTCTTATTAATAATTATTAAACCAGTGTATGTTATTTAATTTTGTTTCCCTTTGGGTTCTATTCGGTTTTTATAAAAGAATAGGTTCGCCGACAACGGCAAACACTGGTGATGCCGATATTGTCATAACTTTTTTGGGGGTAAATTTTTTTTCGCAAAAATTGGTACAAATGCATTTGAGAGGTTCCTAAATCCAGTGGTGTAGTCAGATTTTCTATAAAAAAAATCGCTAACAAAATTTTGCTATTTTTCACTTAAAAAAAAATCGTAGTAGGCCTTGAAAATCAAAATTTCAGCCTTCAAATTTTGCATCAAGATAGAGCTTTTGGAGATCTACCTTTAAAAAAAAACGGTTCAAATCGGCCCATAAACAACTTTTGTACGCGAGTGTTTCCATTCTTAATGGGTCACCCTGTATATATAACATATTTTATTGTGTATAGGTATATGTGATTAATTTTAACAAATCCTATGTATCAAAAACTTATATTTCATATGGTGTAAACTACCTACTAAAGTTGTCTTTGTTAAAAGCTTTTTTTTATTCAACAATGGTGTAAACTACTAAAATGGTCTTTGTTCTTAAATATTGCACCCCAAGCTCCATAGGAATTTTCTTTTCTCCTTTCGTCTCCTGCTTTACCTTTTTTCTCGGTCTCCTTTCTGCCCCATTCTTTTTTCTTAGTTTCTTCAAAGCCATCTTTCCTGTTAAAAATATAATTGTACAATACATATTCAATCCGTTATTAACAAATCTACATTGTATAAACTCAATTAAATAAAATATAATTCTCAGGTGTAGCAGGAACACAATTCCATATTATTAATTATAATAAACGAGCTAAATTGAAAACCTGTACTATTCCAGTTTAGTAGGCAAGAGTGTTTTCTGGTTAGTGTTATTTAAAAATCAGCTGCTACATTGACGCGGATATATGTGTAAACATATTTTTATTACAACCGTAAAAACTAAAGAACTATATTGCAAATATTTCAAATTACTTTAAAAAAACTTTAAAACTTCGCTAAACCAATAGGTATTGTTACAATTCATGTGTTTAAGATATCTTACAATTAGAGAAGATAGCGATAACGATTAGTATTTATCAAAAGGGATATTTCATAAAACCCTAAATCAAAATTACATAAAAGCTGTCACACAAACAAGTTTTTTTCATATTTCATTTTAAAAATCGTGGCTTGTTGGAACGGTACGCATGGCAGAAAAGTTACTAGTCATTAAGGAATATAGCACGTGACATAGAATTTGGTCCAGGAAAATGCAGCTTATTTTTGATACGCTGTACTGTTGCACCCTGTAAGTAGCAATAACAAAAACTAATAAAAACCATTTTATACTATAAAGCCAATATGCTCCTTCAGTTTTAACTGATGTAGGTATATAAAGAAATTTTTAATACTTTTTAAATGTGTAAAGCATGTTTTGAATCGAAAAATATAGTAATCACTAATCACTAATCATTATTCAAAATAAAATAATGTAACTATTTTATGTTTGGTTTAAAATATAACTGGCTGAGACCGGATCTTGTAAAACCCGTTTAGGATTTCTATGTCGATTTCGTCAGTTAACAAGGACAGCAATTCTAAAGATTATTAATATTTAATACCATACATATAGAAAAATGAACAAACATTCAAAGTCTACTTATAAGGAATAAGAGAATATGTGAAGTTATTGCTTTATTTGGAAAATGAACGAAATAATATTTTTCATGGTTTCAAGGATACTGTCGTTATATAGGTAGGTACCTACTGTGTTTCATGTGTTGCCCTTGTCTACCTTCAATAGATTATAGTCCACGCTAATTAACCGAAAAAACGGCAAATAGAAGAAATAATTCATACACCAATAATATTTTGTCCAGGGATAGTTTATAGGAATAGAAGTAAGGACCCGAAAAGTTCCCACCCTAACGGTGAGCGTAAGTTTCGCGAAAAACTAACCCCGGGAAAAAGTATAAAAACGAAAATGTTCTTTATTCAATTCTACACAAAAAATGTCCTATAGAATATTAACCTTCCTCACTGTTTTTTTTTCTATCGGCGTTCACAGTGGTGAGTAGTTTGGAGCGTTCGGCGAAAAATCGGTCCTACGCCATTTTTCAGAGCGAATATCTATAAAATGGCTGGTTTGACGTAGAAAGTGTGATTAGAATCAAAGTTGTGTCACGTTTTTGTTTTGATTTATTTGTTTACTCTATTGTGTTTTTCGAAAAAAGCCTGATTTTCGAGGAAAATTACGAGGTTTCATTTTTGGTCACCGTTTATGAATCACCCTGTATATGAACATATAACTAGATTATAATATGGAATTAAATATAAAAAAATCTTAAATTTGAATGAATTTCTTAGAAAATACCCAGGTACATTGCCACCTAAGATCTTATCGAAATGCTTTAATTTTGACAAATGTTGTTTAGCACGTAATAACTCAGAGTTACTCTGAATAACTATTAAATTAGTAAAATTTTAATTTCATCAAAACGAAAACACTATAATGTGGTTATACTTTGTGATGAAAAGTAAGTATGAATAATCTCGTAAATTTTGTGAAGAGCATATGTCTTATAATGAAATGAATACAAGAACTTACTTTGATGGTACGTCCCAGTTGGATGGAACTTGTTCAGAAATAGAATTCCAAGCGGCGGAGGCGCTTTGAACCATTTTATTTTTATTTAACCTTCAAAATGATGTATGTGAACTATATTAAGGAACGTGGTGAATTTGAGTTAGAACTTGAAGTTCTTTGTAGTTTCCGGAGTTTCCTCTTCGGCTTCCCTTTTTCGTACGAAGGTTTTTCTCCAACCTATAAAACAAATGACGCTTTTACCGAATATTTTCAAACGTTATAGAAATAAGGAAAAAGTGGATCCAGTAAAAGGAAAAAAATCTACCTTTAATTATAAAATTTTTAATTTACCTATAACTGAATTTCAATAAAACCCCTTAGGATTTTTTTATTCTATCCATTACATATTTAAATAGATAAAATTTATACGTGACGATAAAAATATTTGATCTCTCTGTGTGTGTGCACCCTGACAAGATAAAACCTGCAGCGATCTGGTTCGCCATATATAAGAAGCTTCACCAATATAATCAAAACTGTCGCAGACCACTAACGCAAATATCCATTAGTTTTAGAATTTATCAAAAATAAGTGTACATTATATGTAATGACCTGTATCAAATAAGCTCTTAACGTTGTCATTTTGAAAGGAAGCTTCTAATATAAAGTATACAGGGTATCCAACGGTGACGAGACATTAGACATATTTCAGAGACTACTTCGATTTTAATTTTGAAAATTTGGGCAATAGTGTTTTCTCAACTAAACTAATGGTGTCCATCTAACGCTTCCGGTTATACCGGAAGCTAACGTCTTCTTCGTTATTTTAAATGGAACATCCTGTATCTTATTGCAATTTTGGATTGTACGTCAATTTTTAGGTGGCCTTTCATTTCAGTTACCTAACCGTTTTTGATATATTTAATTTTTTTCAAAAAAAAATTAAAAAAGCATTGCCTAATTCAAAAATATGTGTATTTTACAATAATAAAGTTAGAGCGATAAAATCTATAGGGGATATAACTAAAGCTCTAAGCTTCCCTGCCATAATTTCAAAATGACTTAATTTCATACAGGATGGTAGAAATTTAATTCCGAATTTAGTCAACTTTAAACCATCTTAACTTATTTTTTTAAAGTGGAACACCCTGTATATTTTTGCGCAACCTGATGAACAATTTTGTCCTATTTCGAATGGTATGGTATAATGGTTTCCTGGCTTTTAAATTATTTACTGTTTTTCGTACAGTCAACGGATATCGCGTAATTTCTGGCGAGGATGTCTGTGAAATTTTTAGTGGAACTTCAAAACAAGCACCTAATCTGTCACCAGTGTTGTCAGTTTAACACATACAGTGAATGTTTATTTGAGTATTATTTATTGTTAAAAATGGAAAATGTCAACATTTATTCAAATGCTGACATTCTAAATTTATTATTTATTCATGGAGAGTATCACAAGATAATAAATACAACTTGCATAGTATTTAATGAGAGATGCACTCTTTGACTACCGTATACTCAGTATAATCCGGGCGAATTAGACAAACACATGGTTGTTTCAAAAATCAGGCCTAACTCGAATTTTATAGGCTTAAAAGTATGTAAAAAATATACAGAATAAAAGCCTAGTGTATTTGTAGAGGTCGAGCGTCGTATTGCTTATAATAAAAGAAAAAAATTATTGCTCTTTTTTCAGTTTTTCGCTTATATCTCCGAAAATAAGCTTATAATCGACATTCTTATCGATTTTCTTCCTGAGGAAATTTATTACAAAGATAGGCTTTTGCGAAAGCTTCCAAAAATTTGTTTACATTGCAAAATTAGCAGTGAAAAAAAAAATGTGCAAAATTTTCAGAATTAAATAAAAATAACACAATTGACTGAAATTGGATGAAACTACAGGAAAAGATAACTGTTGGGGTGCTCAACAAATACCCGCAATTCGGATCCCGAATTTCAAAATGGCGGCCTATTGCAAAATTATAAAGTCGAAAACGCGAGCGCGTATATTTTTTGCCCAAGTCAAGACATCGAAATGTTATAGAAATGATTCGAAAGATAATTACATTATCTCGCGTCTATGCAAATTTCAGATTTTTAAGTTGCAAAATAAAAAAGTTATTAACAAAAAACCAAAAAAAACGGCAATTTTTTAATATACAGATTTCAAACCAATTGCATCAAATAGTGCTTAAAAACATGAATTAAGAAAAAAAAGCGTCTCGATCTGATCAATAGGAGCCGAGGTAATTTTTTTTTCTTTAAACTGTATTTTGGTTCTATTTAATATTTTGGAATAAACTTGGTCTCGTTGTAAAGTAAAAGACTTTCTTTAAACGCTGAATTTTTTTTTATTGTCTAAAATATATTATACATTAAATATTTATTTTACTTTTAATATTGTTAAAAACAACTTTCTCTGGCAATACAATTCATTAAATAAAATACGGTAGAATTGAATGTAACAGTTCTTTTAAATACTATAAAATGCAATACTTATATGTAATGTTGATATTGTAACATTCAATAATATTTTAGACCCAATTTACGCAATAAGTGTAACAGTTAATTTTGAGACGATATTTTATACGTCGACCTCTTCTGAGCACGGTAAATTTTCATTCATTCATCATTTTTTCTTTTTTTGAAAGAAATGATTGACTTTTGTTTTTAATTACGTAAAAAGACCTCCTTACTTTTCAAAATATGGAAAGCACAATGAAATTACAAAAGAAATCGTGAAAAGTCAATAAAAATGTATTTTTCTGGATCTGGCAATGACTTTCAGAGACTTTTGCTTACACCACTCGAAAGAGCGGAAAAAAATAAGTTGATTTTAAAAAAAAGCATCCCGGTAGCTGCTTTATAAGTGCCATAATCCATTTGTTAAGTAAGAATTTTGAGAAGTCGAGTGCAGCATGGGCACTATGACGTCACAGCGCTCCCCTATCGTGGCTACCGCCGCGCGGATCACGTTGTCTTTAACGAACGTTTACTTGCTCACTTCTTGGTCGAATCCATTAAAAAAAATTCAGTATAAAGGAAGTCTTTTACTTTACTACGAGACCAAGTTTATTCCAAAACATTAAATAGAACAGCCAAAATACCGTTTAAAGAAAAAAAGCGGCTCCTATTGGTCGGATCGAGACGCTTTTTTTTCTTAATTCATGTTTTTTTAAGCACTATTTGATGCAATTGGTTTGAAATCTGTATATTAAAAAATTGCCGAGATAAGGACCCCAGTTACCGGTTTTTTTTTAGTTTTTTATTAATACCTTTTTTATTTTGCAACTTAAAAATCTGAAATTTGCGAGATAATGTAATTATCTTTCGAAAATTTTTTATAAAATTTCGATATCTTGACTTGGGTAGAAAATATGCGTGCTCGCGTTTTCGACTTTATAATTTTGGAATAGGCCGCCATTTTGAAATTCGGGATCTGAATTGCGGGTATTTGTTGAGCACTCCAACAGTTATTTTTTCCTGTAGTTTCATCCAATTTCTTTTTATTTAATTTTGAAAATTTTGCACATTTTTTTTTTCACTGCTAATTTTGTAATGTAAAAAAATGTTTGCGAGCTTTCGCAAAAGCCTACCTTTGTAGCAAATTTCCTCAGGAAGAAAATCGATAAGAATACCTCATGTCGATTAGACGCTTATTTTCGGAGATATAAGCGAAAAACTGAAGACAGAGCATTTTTTTCTCTTGTTATAAACAATATGACGCTCGACCTCTACAAATACACAAAAGGCTTTTATTCTGTGCATTTTTTACTTAATTTTAAACCCATAAAAAATCGAGTTAAGCCTGATTTTTGAAAAGAAACGTAATTCGCCCGGATTTGTAGGGATAAATTAAAAATAAGTTTAATAAGATAACAGAATTAAACTACATAATAACTGTCTTCAGAAATCTAATTAATTTGCTCGAAGTGACCGTCATCTACTTGTAAACAGTTATGTATGTAAAACATTTCATTTAATTGGCAGGTTACTCCGTTTCCACGATGAGGTGGAGCACCGTCTAGCTAATACCAGCAGTAATTTTCGGGAAAGAGTAAAGACTTAGTAATCTCACAATCCTTTTATTTGTAATGTTCAAAAGACGACTAGTTTCGAGGTCTACACTTTACTACTACGTTACTAAGTCTTTTCCCGAAAATTATAAATATGGACTAAACACTTATCAATTTCAAATTTAATACCAGCAGCTTCTTAATTGATCTAGGGGTAGACCTCTAAGAAATCTGTTACAATGGTTCTCAAAATTTGGAGGTATCTTTGTGTATTTAAATTATACTCGTAAATAAAGTACCTCACCTGATTGTCTTTGACTAAGCAACACTAAACTTGTGTTGAAAATTTATTTCGCGGATGACGTGGATTTTCTGGCGCCTAAAAGTGTCGCTTGTTACTAATAAAAATACCTTCGTTATTAAACTGTTAAAATCATTTAACAGAATTGGGTTCGTCTTTCAGCATCCCCTGGATGAAATGAAGGTACAAAATCCATGCTGACCATTAGTTTTTAAAATCTTTTGGATGGAGGTTTTTGAAATGCCTAAATCCTGTTCAGCAGCACGAACTGATGATTCAGGGTAATCATGAAAATATGCCAAAACATTGACGATGTTACCTTCATCTAAAGTTATCGGGTTTTAGTCCAATCAATCTGTCACGGCCTTATATTAAATTTACAAAAAATACCACCTGGAAACAAAAAAATATTGTGATATAGGAAAAGAAATTCTCAGAAAGATAGTGTATTGTTCCTGTGGCGCATAAACGGCGAAGTTTATGCGGTTAACTACCTAAAAAATTCATAAAAGTAAAAAAAATAACGATTTTTCGCTAATAAAAAAACTTGAACTCCAAACGAAAAACGTTAAATGAGAAAGTTGTAGCTATTAAAAAAACCTGTCGATTCGTATTTTTAAATATATCGATTGCTATATTACTTTTCGATTACCGTTTTTTTTTACATTTATGAATTTTTTAGGTTAACTTCGCCGTTTATGTGCCATAAGAAAAATACACTATCTTCCTTAGAATTTTTTTCCTATATCACCATATTTTTTGTTTCCACGTGGTATTTTTTGTAAGCTCTACTACCTATTGATTGGACTATTTGGCAACATTCTATGTGCAGAAATTCGACCATGTACCTAATTGATTTCTTAAAATTCCTTGTAAAATATGTCTACTCATTGGTGGTAAATGAGGATATCTCTCATTAAATACCCTACAAGTCCTATTTATTATCTTGTGACACTCACCATGAATAAATAATAAATTTAGAATTTTGAATTTAAGGTTTTCCATTTTTTAACGATAAATAATACTCAAATAAACATTTGCTGTATGTGTTAAATTGACAACAATAAAAACAATAAACTGGTGACAGATTAGGTGCTTGTTTTGAAGTTCCACTAAAAACTTCACAGCCATCCTCGCAAGAAATTATGCGATATCCGTTGACTGTACGAAAAACAGTAAATACCTTAAAACCAGAAGAGCATAGGGAACCATTATATCATTCGAAAGAGAACAAAATTGTTCATCAGGTTGCGCAAAAATATACATGGTGTTCCGTTAAAAAAAAAATAAGTTAGGATGGTTTAAAGTTGACTAAATTCGACATTAATTTTCTACCACCCTGTATGAAATTAAGTAATTTTGAAATTACGGCAGGGAAGCTTAGAGTTTCAGTTATGTCCCCTCTAAATTTTATCGCTCTAACTTTATTATTGTAAAATACACATCTTTTTGAATTAAGCAGTGCTTTTTTATTTATTTTTTTTTTAAATTAAAATATATCAAAAACGTTTATCTTTAAAAATAGGAAACCTTTAAGAAAGTTCACCTAAAAATTGACGTAGAATCCAAAATTGCAATAATATACAGGGTGTTCCATTTAAAATAACGAAGATGACATGAATTTCCAGTATAACCGGAAGCGTTAGGTGGACGCCATTATTTTAGTTGAGAAGGGTATGCCCGAAAACACTATTGCCCAAATTTTCAAAATTACAATCGAAGTAGTCTGAAATATGTCTAATGTCTCGTCACCGTGGGACACCTTGTATTATGTAGGTACAAAGTGTACATTTCCAGAAGGGAAAATGTATTTTTTTCAAGTATGTAATGTATGACAAAGCCGCTAAAGTCTATACGTAATGCGATTACGATTAGTGTATTGGATTACGTAAATTATGTTTTTATGTGTAGCTATGCCATTTGATATCGGAATTATTTTTAACTTTTTGCTGTAAATACTGTCTTAAAATTTGCAATTGTCTTCAATTTAAAAAAATATGAATTTTATATGACGTTATTAAGGCCAAGTAGTCTTAATAAAGCGAATTAATTAGTTTATTATTCTTTTCTTGAAATCCATTGCTAAAAAAGTTTCATTTATTATTCTCAATAACAAAGGCCTAGGTATTATCCATACCAAAATAATACTATTTTTGTTGAATAGGTTGTAAGTACCAACAACTACAACAATAAAGCTTGGTATGACTTTAATGGGTACAGGTACCTTGCATGTTTTATTGATATAAAAATATATTTGACATACGTATTACAAATTACAGGCATATGAAAACCTTAATCATTTTTGTTTCTTTCTTTTCTTTCTCATAGAATAAATCCTATACAAATATATTTCCAAATTGCATATAAAATTATTTGGAAATTTGTTTTCTCTACTAATATTAAGTACGTAGGTACATAATATATCACATATTTCTTGTTTAAAACGTAGATAATTTAAAATGATTCTAAATAATATTATTTAATTATAACTGGAATTTTTTAAAGAGAAATCTTACCTTATTACTTGATGGTGTTTAGAATTTAATAAAAATTCTAAAATTTTCATTGACACATATGTAACTTAAAAAATCAAAAATAAAAAGGGCGTACTGCAAATGTTCACCATCACTGCAATATGAAGACTGAGACTGAGAACGAGAACTGACTTTCCTTTAACTGGTTAACTTTTATAAAACCTCCTTAATGTCGTCATAATGAAAGGTTGTAAGTCGTGATCAGTATCATGTTAATTAATATTTTAGTTATTTTTATTATGTAAACAAATAAGTAGATGGTGTTTAGTTGATTACTTAGAGTAAAACTGGGCTTTCGCACTAATATGCTTTAATCAAATGCTAGGTATGTATGAAAAACTGCAATATTAAATATTATTACAACTTTATTTTAGTTGACGAGTACACGTTGCTGGTTAGTTAGAATCTGCTCTCAAAAACTTCCCTAAGCCTATATATCTGTATACATATACAGGGTGATTCAGTCATAATGTCATTAATTTTAACCACGTATTCGGAAGGCCTAATAAAGACAGAAAATCGGAAAAAAATTTTTTACTCGACTTAAAAATTAAGGAAATCAACCCATAACTGCCCAGATGCCCGGACGTTCGGAAAATTTTGTAACGTAATGTCACGAGCAAGTCGTCAACTGAAGTGAACAGCGTTGCCAAGTTCTCATCATAATCTGTGGTTCACCATTTACTTTGGGTTCCGCGTTAAACGTATCCAGTTAATCCGTTTTAGTATACGTATACTAGGGTGGCCCTAAAAAAAACGAATATTTTTTTTTGTCTTGTGAAAATATGTTAGTTTATCATGTTTTAAGAACCATTCAAAAAATCAGCTCAAAAAAAAATTTTTTAGTGGTCGCTCAAGATTTTTAAAAATTTCCAAAATCGTCACAAATTTAATTTTTTTTTTTAATTTTTTCTCGTTATTTAATCATTTTCTAGGTTGAAAAAAATCTCGATTCTGAACATTTCAAATCGATATTTTAATTTCTAAAGGTCGCTCATGATTATTTTAACTTTCAAAGTGGTGCACCTGTTTTCGAGCGATCTCCAAAAATAAATATCAACGTACTAATAATTTTTTTTTTATTGAATTTTATGAACAAAAGAATAGAAATAAATCACAAGACACTTAAATTTAGAAAATTAAAAAATTATAAATATTTGATACAATAAATTTTGCCTCGACAAATTTTTTAAGTGTCTCGTGATTTATTTCTAATTTTTTGTTCATCAAATTCAATAAAAAAAATTATTAGTTCGTTGATATTTATTTTTAGAGGTCGCTCGAAAACATTTTAGGTACACTACATTTAAAGTTAAAATAATGAGTGACCTTTAGAAATTAAAATATCGATTTAATTTTCAGAATCGGAATTTTTTTCAACCTAGAAAATGATAAAATAACGAGAAAAAAAATTTGAAAAAAATTCAATTTTTGTCGATTTTGGAAACTTAAAAATCTTGAGCGACCTCTAAAAAATTGTTTTTGAGCTGATTTTTTGAGCGGGCTTTTAAAACATGATAAACTAACATATTTTCACAAGAGACACGAATAAAAAAATATTCGTTTATTTGGGCCATCCTAACGTATACATATGTACGAAACCAGTAAAATGCAAGTAACTAAAGGAGCATGCTGCATTTTATTATAAATAATTTTAACAATTGTATTAACTTAGTGCAAAATGTTTTAACAAGCCTGTCTTTTTGAAGTCAAGAAAATAAATAAAGCAGAGGTAGTTACCTGTTTGTAGGCACACCGTATTTTATCAAATAAAAAAAAGTCGGCACACTAAATAACCGAAAATACAAAATACGGTCACAAAACTATTAACAATTTAAAGCGTTTATTCAAATCTACCACCCTCCAAATCTCCCGCATTTTTTCCGCAAAGGAGTGAAGATCACACCATACAGATGGAAAGGGGATGTGGATTGGAAAGACACACGGAACCGTTAGTTTATTTCGGATTGTTTAAAGTGTCGGTCGTGATGGCTTTGTATACAAATGCCGGATATGTGGATATGGTGATTTTATACGGATAATGTGTACAGAACGCAAATGCCGCTGCAATTGAATATTAGAGACGTTTCTCTGATAGACAGAACTTCTCAAGCCCGGGAATTGTGCAAGCCGTCCAACGGCTTCGTGACACGGGGTCTATCATACCGCGCAGAGAACGTGCAGGACATCGCCAAAATGACTTAAATGTGATAGAGGCTGTTTTAAATTTAGTCGAGGCCTACTATTTCCACAAGAACAATTTCAAGGCGATTGGAGATATCACAAACTAAAGTTTGGTGGATATTTCGCGAGAATTCACTCAACCCGTACCATTTTCAAAAAGTTCAAGCTTTAGAAGCAACTGATTTCCACAATCGTCTTGAATTTTGCAATGGGTTCCTAAATCGAAGTGCAGCAGAACCTAACTTTATTAAGAAGGTGCTCTGGACGGATGAATGCTGTTTTACTCGTGCTGGCATTTTAAACAAGTTAAAAATATATTACTTTCTCAAAAATAATAAATACCTACCTAGGTTACACCAAAGTTTACATTTATTATTTATTTATTTATTAAACTTTGGTTATACGCAACTGCATATTGAATAATAAATTGAACATAATATTAAAACTGTGTATTATTTAACATAATAAATTATAAAACGTGAAACGTTAATAATATTAAAAATGATAAATTGTAATAACCGTACATTCGAAAACAATCATCCCTATTCATTTGTTGTTTTTATCATGTATCGAGATAAAAAAGGGACGAAGGGATCAGTCCACGTCTGACACCCTTGTTCCTACAAAATTCCTTTATTCTCATAAACTATTTATTTTAAATGTAATTTATTATAAATCCAATTTGTTTTTACTACATATGTACTACATTTTACCTTTGTGCGCGCCACTGTTGTTTACTTGTTTTTTGGAGGCGCTCTCTGATTTACGACCAAGCTCGCCAGGTTAGTATTTGACGTATAACCGACCAGTTCGTACACTCGATGTACCTGGGCGACTACAGCTACTACCAGAACTCAGTGCGTATGCAGCGGTATTTCAGATTTTACATTCAATTTCATTTTAAATTTGAAATGGTTCATCTTACGTCTCCTAAAAGTAATGACACGATATTCCTTTGATAATAGACCGACAACTTTTTTTTCTACTTTGCATCGAATACGATCCTACTACAGTCATATAGTGCACGTGCAGGTCAAAAGTGGGTTACAAGGTTAGTAACCTGGACAGGTTAGCCTAGGTCGGAAACACGTACCGAGTTGTTTGTCTCCGTCCGATTGTTTTTTTTTATGGAATATAAATACAAGTCTCTCTTTTATTACTTACAGTCAATATTTAAATACTACATACATAATCCTCTCTTTATAATTTATCTAGTGAGTGTTGGTTTTTTATGTCATTATTTCTGTAATGAAATTGAAATGGTTATGAAATGAAATTTAAATTATTTGAACTTTTGGGGTTTTGTAACTTCAATATTAAATCTTATTTAAAGTGAAACAGCTAATTTCTTTGCAGCCATAATAGTCACATTTGGTCAGATGAAACACACTACTACCCGCACACTACTCGTCGGTGGTATAGCTTTCAGAGGAGATTCGGTGTCAATGTCAATGGCGATCGTTTAATTGGGCCGCATTTTCTACCTGAACATCTGAATGGGCCGCGTTACTAATTTTTAGTAGAATTGTTTGAAAACCTTCCCCTTCGGGCTTACAGCAAATGTTGTTAAAATATTAAAATTATGATGCTAATAAAAACTGATTTTTGGCAAGGCATGCTCAGACCTCGAGGTTCTTGCTGGGCAACAATAACAATTTAATATGTTGATTGCATAAATAAAAAATAATTTATAGCATTTTAAATTATTATTGGTTGACGTGAGCAAAACCGTTTATTTATTGTCTTTATATGAGCGAAAATATATAAATATGGCAACGTTTCATCTAGGGCGCTTGTTCATATCGTAGCCGTGCGCAGTACTGTGAATAACCGGCTGACGTCAGTAACAGCCTGAAAAGGGGGTTAAATAATGATTTGAAAATATTTTGAAAATGTGTATGATGTGTCTATAAATTTAATTAATGGTTGTACTTTAGTACTTTGTACGGCTTTACGGAAAACAAATTTTGTAAAGCTGTCTACAGACACTATCAAATAGGTGTTTTTTGATTTGGTCTTTACAAAAGGACCTAGATGATCTTACATGTAAGGTATCCATAAGCTCTAAATACTTTTTTAATAGGATGCAAATTGCTGGTGTCTTTATTATGTTGACACGGTAAACATCAATTTATAACGCTTTATAGCTTCTAATGTTTTATCTAACGCGAAATGCCCTATGGAATCGTGAAAATAAGTAACAACCTGACGTCGTGCAGACTTTGGTACTACCCAGCAATCCCCCGAAACCGTCTTTTTGTATACCTTGTTATCATATATTTTGTATTCGTTATGAATTTTCTTTTCTTCTTCGTCAGTAGGTGTTTGACGTAGTATATTTTTAACATAATTTATTCTGTCGTCTTGTAACTGTGCCGCTAAAACCCAGTCACCTTCAGTTATATCTATTGTTAAAATGTCTAATTCCGCTTCCATTGCCGTTTCATTTTGAGAAATGGGATTCCTACTTAGAGCGTCTACATGTGTCACGTTTGTGCCCTTTCGGTATTCAATATTAAAATCGAATTCAGTAGTCGTCAGCCACAATCTAACAAATCGAGGAATTAAATCTCGTTTTATCAGTGTAGTACGTAACGCATTACAATCGGTTACCTATGCGTGGTGGTAATAGTTTAAATAACTAGATGGATTTCACAGGGTCTAAGGACACTTACAGTGTACGATAATTCAATAAACAAAGAAATCTAAATAAAAAATTTAGATAAATTTGGAACGAATACACTGAAGATGATTTTTTCGAGACAAAACGTCTGAATCTGGTTCGGGCTGAGGCAGTACAGTATTGGGGGTCATGAAGGCTTGCAAAAAAAGTAATAAAATTTCTAGGGTCGTGTTTAGAGACGAAACATTACATATAAAAATTGATTATGCCATTCGATAGAGGGCAAAAAGTAGCCATGAGAAAGTGTTCTTCTTTTTCAATATCACCGCATTTCAAACAA